TGGGAGGTGAGAAGGTGACAGTGGGAGGTGAGAAGGTGACAGTGGGAGGTGAGAAGGTGACAGTGGGAGGTGAGAAGGTGACAGTGGGAGGTGAGAAGGTGACAGTGGGAGGTGAGAAGGTGACAGTGGGAGGTGAGAAGGTGACAGTGGGAGGTGAGAAGGTGACAGTGGGAGGTGAGAAGGTGACAGTGGGAGGTGCGAAGGTGACAGTGGGAGGTGAGAAGGTGACAGTGGGAGGTGAGAAGGTGACAGTGGGAGGTGAGAAGGTGACAGTGGGAGGTGAGAAGGTGACAGTGGGAGGTGAGAAGGTGACAGTGGGAGGTGAGAAGGTGACAGTGGGAGGTGAGAAGGTGACAGTGGGAGGTGCGAAGGTGACAGTGGGAGGTGAGAAGGTGACAGTGGGAGGTGCGAGTGATTCTTTGTTGAAAGGAAGAGGTGTGCTGGTGAAGACGCTCTGTGAAAATCATAATCCTTCCCCCTCATATCCCTCCCTCCCCTTCTTCCCTGCCTCCCCTACCCCTCACCTCTCCTCGCCCCCCTGCTCCTGGCAAAGCTGATCTGATCCTGGGCACGGTGTGGAGCTCAGGGGAGTGGAGCACGGTGTGGCTTTGGGGCCACAGCACCATCAGTCGGCAGTTTCTGGCAAAGCTGATCCTGGAATACGGTGTGGAGCTCAGGGGAGTGAGCTTTGGGGGCACGGCACAGGCAGCCACGCAGGGAGGCACACCCATCAGTTACTCCCTTTCCTCATCCCGCTCCCCCCCCACTCTTCTCCCCTCCCATCCTTAGTTGGTACTTTACGTTTTTTAGGGTCACGTAAACGTAAACTTACGCTTGAGTTTACCTTTACGTTTTCTTACGCGTAATTTTACGTAAAGTCGCACGGGCAGGGCAAAAAAAGTTTTTCTGGCTGCGAAATGGAAAAATCTGACTGATATGAGGTGGGAGACGCTGTGACATGTCCGTGTAGATTTGGGGCATCTGTAAGTTGATGTAATAATGTGCTAACATGCTTGGGCATAGAAGAACCAAGTTAGTGATTGATTAGGCGCTTCCCATGCAGCCACTTAGTGCGATGAATTCTTATCTTTCCGGGCAGCCAGAAATGTTTCTGGCTGACCGTAAACGTAAAGCCGTTTTGGGCCCATGTAAGTAAACGTAAGTTTACTACGTAAAGTCACGTACATGTAAACCACCGTAAACGTAAAATGCCAACTAAGCTCCCATCTTCCTCTCCTCTACCACCCCCCCCCCCCCCCCAACAGCACCATCGGTCGGCAGTACTCGGCAAAGCTGATTCTGGACAACGGTGTCCAGCTGACGGGAGTGAGCTTTGGAGGCACGGCAGAGACAGGCAGGCAGGGAGGCACACCCATCAGTTACTCCCTTTCCTCATCCCGCTCCCTCCCCCACTCTTCTCCCCTCCCATCTTCCTCTCCTCTACCCCCCCAACAGCACCATCAGTCGGCAGTACTCGGCAAAGCTGATTCTGGACAGCGGTGTCGAGCTGACGGGAGTGAGCTTTGGAGGCACGGCAGAGACGGTCAATAAAGTGCTGCTGCCTGCTTCTGCTGCGGTCAATGCAGGCGCCTCTGCTGCTGATGTGAGTCACGCATTTATCACAAAAAATAGGCTTCTGCCTGCCCCCTTCTGCTGCTGCTGCTTCTGCTGCTGTCAAGCCTGGCGCCTCTGCCGCTGATGTGAGCCACACGCTCCTTACCACAAGCCCTTATCACGTGTCCTTATCATGCGTCCGTCCTTATCACATGCCCTTCTCACGTGCCCTTACCACGTGCCCTTACCACGTGCCCTGATTACGAATCCGCCTTATGATCCTGGATACTTGTTCGCATCACAACAATCGACCAAGCCAACACGGTGGGTGAAATTCACTCGTATGCCCATACCAACCATCGCCCTGTGCCTCTTTCCTTTCCCCCTCTCATGACCCCTGGCCTCTCCGTGCGACATCACAGCCATTGAAAAAAACAAACTGGCAGGTTGAATCCTCTCATGTGTACAATCCAACCTTACACTCTTGTTCCCTGTGCTTGTTTCATTCTTTCCCCCTTCTAATGACCCCCCAGGCTGCCTGCCCTGTTGGGTTTTTTTTAGAATCCTCAAAAAACCCCTACAGCATCTCCCTTCTAATGACCCCCCAGGCTGCCTGCCCTGTGCGACGTCACTGCAATGACTTTTGAGTCGACTCAAAAGTCAACTCTTTGTTCCCTGTTCTTGTTTCATTCTTTCCCTTGTTCCCCTTGTTCTAATGACCCCCCGGGCTGCCTGCCCTGTGCGACGTCACTGCAATCGACAAAAGCAAGCTGGCGAGTTGAATCATCGTATTCACGGTGTTTTTGAGAATTCTCAGAAACACGCTGCAATATCGGATGCACGTTCAAGCCATCCGCCTCCAGACCTGCAACAAGCTGGCAGGTCGAATCCCCTCCAGCACATACCAACCATCCTCTCTTTTGCCCTCCACCTGTTTGCATCGTCCCCCCTCTGATTATCCCACAGGCTGCTGTGTGTGACTTCACTGCAATCGACCCAAGCAAATTGGCTGGAAAAATTATCGTCTGCACTTTTGAACCATCTGTAGGAGTCCCCATTACCTTCCTTACTGCTTCCAAGGCAGCAGCGCTTGTCCTCCTTAGTGGCTCTCCCAATACAGACAACATGGACATGATTCCTTTCACCAGCCTGCCCGTCCTGTTCCTCACCAACGCCCAGGGCGGGCAGGTGAACAATTACCTGGAGCAGACGGCCAATCCCGTGGCGACACTTAGCGAAGTCATTAGCACAAATTCCTCCAACGCTCCTCAAATGACTGATTTCTCTTCTACAGGACCAACCGTAAACCCATCCTGGTTCCCAGTTCCATCATACTCAGCAACCAACGACATCTTAAAGCCCGACATAGTAGGTCCGGGGTTCCAGCTCTGGTCGGCGTACCGAGGCAAGAGCGCAGCTTCGGCAGCCACCGACCCTCCTGCGTTCAACTGCATTTCGGGTACCTCAATGGCTACACCTCAACTAGCCGGAATTGCGGCGTTATTGATCCAGAAGAATCCAGGCTGGACCCCCGCCCAAGTGATGTCTGCAATGATGACTACAGCATCTACAGTAAACAATGCCGGCCAGCCAATCAAACGCGCCAATGGGGACGTTGCCACCCCGTGGGATTACGGCGCGGGGCACGTCAACCCGTTGAGGATTTTAAACCCGGGGTTGACTCTTACTTCAGGGTTTAAAGATTATGTGAATTTTCTCGCGAGCCGGAATCTCCAGCAGACCAAGCGTGCGTTTCCAGGGCTGAAGGGAATTCGGGCACGCAAGCCGTGGAATCTCAACCGTCCAACGATATCGATCTCACGGCTGTCGGTCCGCGGGAAGAAGATTGTGCGCACGGTTCGGAATGTGTTTGACCAGCCGTCGACGTACACTGTGAAGGTTCGGGTGCCGTCGAACGTGCAGGTTCGGGTGTCGCCGAGCCAGTTTACCGTTGGTCCGGGCGAGGTGCAGCGAATTAATATGGTTTTCAAGGCAAAGAAGGTTGTGAAGAGGTTTCTGTTTGGGTCGGTTAGACTGGTGGATGAGCATGAGCATGCAGTTAATATGCCAATTGTACTGGGTACGGTGTGACTGGAGTGCAATGCATTGTTGTTGGGTAACAAAAGAGAAGTAGTGGTAGGCTGGCAGCCTTGTTGGGTGGTGGAAGGAGCATGTGGTAGACATTCCAGTGCAAGTTGATGGAGTGGAGCTGGCAACTTGTTGGGTGATGGAGGTCCATAGCTTTTGAAGGTAGGAAGGTTGGTCGGGGCAGGAGGAGGGAGGGATTGGCTTGCGAAACAGGGTGGCGTGGTATTGAAATAGCTTGCAGTGGGTCGTTGAATAAAATTCTCTTGCCAAAGTTACCAAAATTTGGGATGCAACTGAGGATATATTTCGTGCCTCTCTTCGTGACTGAAAGACCAGATTTAGGGTGACCCTTTGCACAGCAATCAACTTTGCCAGTGCAATAATATCGAGAATCAAAGCCACAGTGCCCGGACCATTTCCACCCTAATCAGTCCGATACCCAGAAGCTAGGGGATGTGAATGAGGCACTTACGGTAAGCTTGAGTCTCAAAAAAGGAAAACATCGGCGTATGACACCTCGCCCACTCGCGTGATCCATTTTTTTCGTAGAGTTCCTCCAAGTGACCCTCCAACTTGACTCCAAACCATTACGAACTTTAAACTTGAGATACTCCTGTGTAGCCCTCGGACCTCGGTCTGAGAGAAACCAGAAATTATCACCCACGGACGTGAAAATAGACCGATAGAAAGTAGCGGTGGTTAGGTGTAGGCCTCAGATTTCAGCGAAAAAAGGCTGATTTAGGTTTAAAAAAAGGCTGAGATTTAGACTGGTTCTAAGAATCAGGACTATTTTTTCAGCCATTTTTTTGAAAGGAACAGGAAAAAACTATGATATTTTTCAGTGTAAAATGGCATAACATGGCTAATTTGTCTGATCTTCAACAATAAATTGTGTACCAACTCTGATCTTTCAGACTAGCCCAAAACCTATCTGAGGCCCTGACCAGTACTCCACTCCTCCTTCAAGCAGGGTTCCACACGGGCGAGTAGATACTCTATAATGACTAGTTCTTTTTAGCCACAAAGAGCATCGCAATATACAAGCTACAGTAACTCAGTTACAGCCTTAATATTCTTATTGAAAGGGCCTTCCCTGCCGGACATGCAGGTCTTGCGTGAGAATCCTCAGTGTGACTTTCTATCAGTGCATCCACAGGCAGCGACACTTCCACCTCATTCCATTTTGTTCTTGTTGATAGCGCCCCAAATCTCGATGCACCATCCTCATTCTAATCAGAAAGACCTGCCTCACTTTCCCCCAAAACCACATGCTGGGTCAACGACGAAAATGGGCCGGAAACCATTGTTACGTCTCCCAATTGCTGCTGCTCAGGTGATTTGTAAGAATTTGCACCATTTTAACAAGCTTCCTCCCCAGACGGCTTGCTGTCATCCCCTTCCACCCCTCCTTCCAACTCTGACAGTGGCAGCAGCACCATGTGTTTCTTGCTCACATCATTCCCTGCATTCTCCAACCCATCACCGAAACTCAGCAACCGGACGAATTCCGCCGCCTCTCTTGCTGCTTGCCGCCCAGTGGAGAACGCGCAGTGAACAGTGCCGGGGTGGGGACGGGATGTGGCTTCCCCGGCAAAGAAAAGGGGACGGAGGGGGGCACAGAGGGAATCGTAGACGTCGGGCGGGGCGTGCACTGCATTGAAGGAGTAGGCTCCGAGGGAGAAGGGGACTGACCCCCATGTGGTGATGCGCGCCTGGATCTGTGTGTGGTGGGGGGTCGGAATGAGAGGAGGGAGGGGAGAGTGAGTGAGGAGCGTTGGAGATACCAAGAGGCGTGGCAAGCCTTACTGAATGAGAGAAGGTAGAGAGCAGAGAGCAAGAGGCGTTGGAGATACCAAGAGGCGTGGCAAGCCTTCTTGAATGAGAGAAGGTAGAGAGCAGAGAGCAAGAGGCGTTGGAGATACCAAGAGGCGTGGCAAGCCTTCTTGAATGAGAGAAGGTAGAGAGCAGAGAGCAAGAGGCGTTGGAGATACCAAGAGGCGTGGCAAGCCTTCTTGAATGAGAGAAGGTAGAGAGCAGAGAGCAAGAGGCGTTGGAGATACCAAGAGGCGTGGCAAGCCTTCTTGAATGAGAGAAGGTAGAGAGCAGAGAGCAAGAGGCGTTGGAGATACCAAGAGGCGTGGCAAGCCTTCTTGAATGAGAGAAGGTAGAGAGCAGAGAGCAAGAGGCGTTGGAGATACCAAGAGGCGTGGCAAGCCTTCTTGAATGAGAGAAGGTAGAGAGCAGAGAGCAAGAGGCGTTGGAGATACCAAGAGGCGTGGCAAGCCTTCTTGAATGAGAGAAGGTAGAGAGCAGAGAGCAAGAGGCGTTGGAGATACCAAGAGGCGTGGCAAGCCTTCTTGAATGAGAGAAGGTAGAGAGCAGAGAGCAAGAGGCGTTGGAGATACCAAGAGGCGTGGCAAGCCTTCTTGAATGAGAGAAGGTAGAGAGCAGAGAGCAAGAGGCGTTGGAGATACCAAGAGGCGTGGCAAGCCTTCTTGAATGAGACAAGGTAGAGAGCAGAGAGCAAGAGGCGTTGGAGATACCAAGAGGCGTGGCAAGCCTTCTTGAATGAGAGAAGGTAGAGAGCAGAGAGCAAGAGGCGTTGGAGATACCAAGAGGCGTGGCAAGCCTTCTTGAATGAGATTCTCAAAAGTCGCACCTTTTGAGAATTCTCAAAAGTCGCACCAGAATGAGAGTAGGTGAAGAACCCGAGGCCAGAGAGCGAGGGGAGCACAAAGAAAGTGGTGGAGGTGGGGAGGAGCGTGCACAAAGAAAGTGGTGGGGAGGAGTAAGCTCCGAGGGAGAGAAGGGGCCTGACCCCCATGTGGTGATGCGTGCCTGGATCTGTGAACACGGAGGGGAGAGGGAGGAGAGCTGGAGACATCAAGAGGCATGGCAAGCCCTGTAGTGAGCAAAGGTTTCACCTTATTCGTCGCGACAGGTTGATGCACAAGTGTATCCGCACAGATCATCAGCAGAGCACGGGTACCAATGAAAAAGCTGGTGAAACCTCACAGGTGGGGGCGCGTTCTACAACCCGTGTATGTTCTGCAACCAGATGCTCTACTAGCGCGAAAGAGGGTGTAGCACATGGTACGCATCGTACAGAACCCTGCTCGGTGAGTCTGTTACACTGACGACTTCCCTGCTGCTGCCCTGTCACCCCTGCCTCCTCTGCTGCACCTACCCGTGTTGCCTCTACGCTCGTTGCCCCTACCACCCCTGCTGTATCTATCTCTCCGCCAACTAGTTTGTCCATATTCTGTGTTGAGGACCAGTCAACGCTGACCACTCTGTGAGAAAGAGTTGGGGAAGAAGAAAAAGGGGATATGAACAGGTAAAGCACGCAGAATTAGGCAACGCAGTAGGAACAGATGAAGTGGGCAGGATTAGGCAACGCAGTAGGAACAGATGAAGTGGGCAGGATTAGGCAAAGGCCTTAGGCATCATCTCTTCTAACATCAAATGTGAAACTATTTCTGCTCCTACCAACGCGCTCACTACGCTGTGGACATATTCACTTACACCACGTGTTGCATCGCCATCACAGCATCACATCGAACCATCACAGCATCATATCGAACCATCGCAGCATCATATCGAACCATCACAGCATCACATCGAACCATCACAGCATCACATCGAGCCATCACAGCATCACATCGAACCATCACCTGTGATTCGAACGAATCTCCAGCCCAGCAGCCAGGGCGTCCTGCCATGGCGTCCTGCACACAGGTGACGGTTTGATGTGAAGCGCATGCAGAATGAGTGAGCAGCATGATGGGATGAAGAAGAAGCGCATGCAGAATGAGTGAGCAGCATGATGGGATGAAGAAGAAGCGCATGCAGAATGAGTGAGCAGCATGATGGGATGAAGAAGAAGCGCATGCAGAATGAGTGAGCAGCATGATGGGATGAAGAAGAAGCGCATGCAGACTGAGTGAGCAGCATGATGGGATGAAGAAGAAGCGCATGCAGAATGAGTGAGCAGCATGATGGGATGAAGAAGAAGCGCATGCAGAATGAGTGAGCAGCATGATGGGATGAAGAAGAAGCGCATGCAGAATGAGTGAGCAGCATGATGGGATGAAGAAGAAGCGCATGCAGAATGAGTGAGCAGCATGATGGGATGAAGAAGAAGCGCATGCAGAATGAGTGAGCAGCATGATGGGATGAAGAAGAAGCGCATGCAGACTGAGTGAGCAGCATGATGGGATGAAGAAGAAGCGCATGCAGAATGAGTGAGCAGCATGATGGGATGAAGAAGAAGCGCATGCAGAATGAGTGAGCAGCATGATGGGATGAAGAAGAAGCGCATGCAGAATGAGTGAGCAGCATGATGGGATGAAGAAGAAGCGCATGCAGAATGAGTGAGCAGCATGATGGGATGAAGAAGAAGCGCATGCAGAATGAGTGAGCAGCATGATGGGATGAAGAAGAAGCGCATGCAGACTGAGTGAGCAGCATGATGGGATGAAGAAGAAGCGCATGCAGAATGAGTGAGCAGCATGATGGGATGAAGAAGAAGCGCATGCAGAATGAGTGAGCAGCATGATGGGATGAAGAAGAAGCGCATGCAGAATGAGTGAGCAGCATGATGGGATGAAGAAGAAGCGCATGCAGAATGAGTGAGCAGCATGATGGGATGAAGAAGAAGCGCATGCAGACTGAGTGAGCAGCATGATGGGATGAAGAAGAAGCGCATGCAGAATGAGTGAGCAGCATGATGGGATGAAGAAGAAGCGCATGCAGACTGAGTGAGCAGCATGATGGGATGAAGAAGAAGCGCATGCAGAATGAGTGAGCAGCATGATGGGATGAAGAAGAAGCGCATGCAGACTGAGTGAGCAGCATGATGGGATGAAGAAGAAGCACATGCAGAATGAGTGAGCAGCATGATGGGATGAAGAAGAAGCGCATGCAGACTGAGTGAGCAGCATGATGGGATGAAGAAGAAGCGCATGCAGAATGAGTGAGCAGCATGATGGGATGAAGAAGAAGCGCATGCAGACTGAGTGAGCAGCATGATGGGATGAAGAAGAAGCGCATGCAGAATGAGTGAGCAGCATGATGGGATGAAGAAGAAGCGCATGCAGAATGAGTGAGCAGCATGATGGGATGAAGAAGAAGCGCATGCAGAATGAGTGAGCAGCATGATGGGATGAAGAAGAAGCGCATGCAGAATGAGTGAGCAGCATGATGGGATGAAGAAGAAGCGCATGCAGAATGAGTGAGCAGCATGATGGGATGAAGAAGAAGCGCATGCAGAATGAGTGAGCAGCATGATGGGATGAAGAAGAAGCGCATGCAGAATGAGTGAGCAGCATGATGGGATGAAGAAGAAGCGCATGCAGAATGAGTGAGCAGCATGATGGGATGAAGAAGAAGCGCATGCAGACTGAGTGAGCAGCATGATGGGATGAAGAAGAAGCGCATGCAGAATGAGTGAGCAGCATGATGGGATGAAGAAGAAGCGCATGCAGAATGAGTGAGCAGCATGATGGGATGAAGAAGAAGCGCATGCAGACTGAGTGAGCAGCATGATGGGATGAAGAAGAAGCGCATGCAGAATGAGCGAGCAGCATGATGGGATGAAGAAGAAGCGCATGCAGACTGAGTGAGCAGCATGATGGGATGAAGAAGAAGCGCATGCAGACTGAGTGAGCAGCATGATGGGATGAAGAAGAAGCGCATGCAGAATGAGTGAGCAGCATGATGGGATGAAGAAGAAGCGCATGCAGACTGAGTGAGCAGCATGATGGGATGAAGAAGAAGCGCATGCAGAATGAGTGAGCAGCATGATGGGATGAAGAAGAAGCGCATGCAGAATGAGTGAGCAGCATGATGGGATGAAGAAGAAGCGCATGCAGACTGAGTGAGCAGCATGATGGGATGAAGAAGAAGCGCATGCAGAATGAGTGAGCAGCATGATGGGATGAAGAAGAAGCGCATGCAGAATGAGTGAGCAGCATGATGGGATGAAGAAGAAGCGCATGCAGACTGAGTGAGCAGCATGATGGGATGAAGAAGAAGCGCATGCAGAATGAGTGAGCAGCATGATGGGATGAAGAAGAAGCGCATGCAGACTGAGTGAGCAGCATGATGGGATGAAGAAGAAGCACATGCAGAATGAGTGAGCAGCATGATGGGATGAAGAAGAAGCGCATGCAGACTGAGTGAGCAGCATGATGGGATGAAGAAGAAGCGCATGCAGAATGAGTGAGCAGCATGATGGGATGAAGAAGAAGCGCATGCAGACTGAGTGAGCAGCATGATGGGATGAAGAAGAAGCGCATGCAGAATGAGTGAGCAGCATGATGGGATGAAGAAGAAGCGCATGCAGAATGAGTGAGCAGCATGATGGGATGAAGAAGAAGCGCATGCAGAATGAGTGAGCAGCATGATGGGATGAAGAAGAAGCGCATGCAGAATGAGTGAGCAGCATGATGGGATGAAGAAGAAGCGCATGCAGAATGAGTGAGCAGCATGATGGGATGAAGAAGAAGCGCATGCAGAATGAGTGAGCAGCATGATGGGATGAAGAAGAAGCGCATGCAGAATGAGTGAGCAGCATGATGGGATGAAGAAGAAGCGCATGCAGAATGAGTGAGCAGCATGATGGGATGAAGAAGAAGCGCATGCAGAATGAGTGAGCAGCATGATGGGATGAAGAAGAAGCGCATGCAGACTGAGTGAGCAGCATGATGGGATGAAGAAGAAGCGCATGCAGAATGAGCGAGCAGCATGATGGGATGAAGAAGAAGCGCATGCAGACTGAGTGAGCAGCATGATGGGATGAAGAAGAAGCGCATGCAGAATGAGCGAGCAGCATGATGGGATGAAGAAGAAGCGCATGCAGAATGAGTGAGCAGCATGATGGGATGAAGAAGAAGCGCATGCAGACTGAGTGAGCAGCATGATGGGATGAAGAAGAAGCGCATGCAGAATGAGCGAGCAGCATGATGGGATGAAGAAGAAGCGCATGCAGACTGAGTGAGCAGCATGATGGGATGAAGAAGAAGCGCATGCAGAATGAGCGAGCAGCATGATGGGATGAAGAAGAAGCGCATGCAGAATGAGTGAGCAGCATGATGGGATGAAGAAGAAGCGCATGCAGAATGAGTGAGCAGCATGATGGGATGAAGAAGAAGCGCATGCAGAATGAGTGAGCAGCATGATGGGATCAAGAAGAAGCGCATGCAGAATGAGTGAGCAGCATGATGGGATCAAGAAGAAGCGCATGCAGAATGAGTGAGCAGCATGATGGGATGAAGAAGAAGCGCATGCAGAATGAGTGAGCAGCATGATGGGATCAAGAAGAAGCGCATGCAGAATGAGTGAGCAGCATGATGGGATGAAGAAGAAGCGCATGCAGAATGAGTGAGCAGCATGATGGGATGAAGAAGAAGCGCATGCAGAATGAGTGAGCAGCATGATGGGATGAAGAAGAAGCGCATGCAGACTGAGTGAGCAGCATGATGGGATGAAGAAGAAGCGCATGCAGAATGAGTGAGCAGCATGATGGGATGAAGAAGAAGCGCATGCAGAATGAGTGAGCAGCATGATGGGATGAAGAAGAAGCGCATGCAGAATGAGTGAGCAGCATGATGGGATGAAGGAGAAGCGCATGCAGAATGAGTGAGCAGCATGATGGGATGAAGAAGAAGCGCATGCAGAATGAGTGAGCAGCATGATGGGATGAAGAAGAAGCGCATGCAGAATGAGTGAGCAGCATGATGGGATGAAGAAGAAGCGCATGCAGAATGAGTGAGCAGCATGATGGGATGAAGAAGAAGCGCATGCAGAATGAGTGAGCAGCATGATGGGATGAAGAAGAAGCGCATGCAGAATGAGTGAGCAGCATGATGGGATGAAGAAGAAGCGCATGCAGAATGAGTGAGCAGCATGATGGGATGAAGAAGAAGCGCATGCAGACTGAGTGAGCAGCATGATGGGATGAAGAAGAAGCGCATGCAGAATGAGTGAGCAGCATGATGGGATGAAGAAGAAGCGCATGCAGAATGAGTGAGCAGCATGATGGGATGAAGAAGAAGCGCATGCAGAATGAGTGAGCAGCATGATGGGATGAAGAAGAAGCGCATGCAGAATGAGTGAGCAGCATGATGGGATGAAGAAGAAGCGCATGCAGAATGAGCGAGCAGCATGATGGGATGAAGAAGAAGCGCATGCAGAATGAGCGAGCAGCATGATGGGATGAAGAAGAAGCGCATGCAGAATGAGTGAGCAGCATGATGGGATGAAGAAGAAGCGCATGCAGAATGAGTGAGCAGCACGATGGGATGAAGAAGAAGCGCATGCAGAATGAGTGAGCAGCATGATGGGATGAAGAAGAAGCGCATGCAGAATGAGTGAGCAGCATGATGGGATGAAGAAGAAGCGCATGCAGAATGAGCGAGCAGCATGATGGGATGAAGAAGAAGCGCATGCAGAATGAGTGAGCAGCATGATGGGATGAAGAAGAAGCGCATGCAGAATGAGTGAGCAGCATGATGGGATGAAGAAGAAGCGCATGCAGAATGAGTGAGCAGCATGATGGGATGAAGAAGAAGCGCATGCAGAATGAGTGAGCAGCACGATGGGATGAAGAAGAAGCGCATGCAGAATGAGTGAGCAGCATGATGGGATGAAGAAGAAGCGCATGCAGAATGAGCGAGCAGCATGATGGGATGAAGAAGAAGCGCATGCAGAATGAGTGAGCAGCATGATGGGATGAAGAAGAAGCGCATGCAGACTGAGTGAGCAGCATGATGGGATGAAGAAGAAGCGCATGCAGAATGAGTGAGCAGCATGATGGGATGAAGAAGAAGCGCATGCAGAATGAGTGAGCAGCATGATGGGATGAAGAAGAAGCGCATGCAGAATGAGTGAGCAGCATGATGGGATGAAGAAGAAGCGCATGCAGAATGAGCGAGCAGCATGATGGGATGAAGAAGAAGCGCATGCAGAATGAGTGAGCAGCATGATGGGATGAAGAAGAAGCGCATGCAGAATGAGTGAGCAGCATGATGGGATGAAGAAGAAGCGCATGCAGAATGAGTGAGCAGCATGATGGGATCAAGAAGAAGCGCATGCAGAATGAGTGAGCAGCATGATGGGATGAAGAAGAAGCGCATGCAGAATGAGTGAGCAGCATGATGGGATGAAGAAGAAGCGCATGCAGACTGAGTGAGCAGCATGATGGGATGAAGAAGAAGCGCATGCAGAATGAGTGAGCAGCATGATGGGATGAAGAAGAAGCGCATGCAGAATGAGTGAGCAGCATGATGGGATGAAGAAGAAGCGCATGCAGAATGAGTGAGCAGCATGATGGGATGAAGAAGAAGCGCATGCAGAATGAGTGAGCAGCATGATGGGATGAAGAAGAAGCGCATGCAGAATGAGTGAGCAGCATGATGGGATCAAGAAGAAGCGCATGCAGAATGAGTGAGCAGCATGATGGGATGAAGAAGAAGCGCATGCAGAATGAGTGAGCAGCATGATGGGATGAAGAAGAAGCGCATGCAGAATGAGCGAGCAGCATGATGGGATGAAGAAGAAGCGCATGCAGAATGAGTGAGCAGCATGATGGGATGAAGAAGAAGCGCATGCAGAATGAGTGAGCAGCATGATGGGATGAAGAAGAAGCGCATGCAGACTGAGTGAGCAGCATGATGGGATGAAGAAGAAGCGCATGCAGAATGAGCGAGCAGCATGATGGGATGAAGAAGAAGCGCATGCAGAATGAGTGAGCAGCATGATGGGATGAAGAAGAAGCGCATGCAGAATGAGTGAGCAGCATGATGGGATGAAGAAGAAGCGCATGCAGAATGAGTGAGCAGCATGATGGGATGAAGAAGAAGCGCATGCAGACTGAGTGAGCAGCATGATGGGATGAAGAAGAAGCGCATGCAGAATGAGTGAGCAGCATGATGGGATGAAGAAGAAGCGCATGCAGAATGAGTGAGCAGCATGATGGGATGAAGAAGAAGCGCATGCAGACTGAGTGAGCAGCATGATGGGATGAAGAAGAAGCGCATGCAGAATGAGCGAGCAGCATGATGGGATGAAGAAGAAGCGCATGCAGAATGAGTGAGCAGCATGATGGGATGAAGAAGAAGCGCATGCAGAATGAGTGAGCAGCATGATGGGATGAAGAAGAAGCGCATGCACAATGAGTGAGCAGCATGATGGGATGAAGAAGAAGCGCATGCAGAATGAGTGAGCAGCATGATGGGATGAAGAAGAAGCGCATGCAGAATGAGTGAGCAGCATGATGGGATCAAGAAGAAGCGCATGCAGAATGAGTGAGCAGCATGATGGGATGAAGAAGAAGCGCATGCAGAATGAGTGAGCAGCATGATGGGATGAAGAAGAAGCGCATGCAGAATGAGTGAGCAGCATGATGGGATGAAGAAGAAGCGCATGCAGAATGAGTGAGCAGCATGATGGGATGAAGAAGAAGCGCATGCAGAATGAGTGAGCAGCATGATGGGATGAAGAAGAAGCGCATGCAGAATGAGTGAGCAGCATGATGGGATGAAGAAGAAGCGCATGCAGAATGAGTGAGCAGCATGATGGGATGAAGAAGAAGCGCATGCAGAATGAGTGAGCAGCATGATGGGATGAAGAAGAAGCGCATGCAGAATGAGTGAGCAGCATGATGGGATGAAGAAGAAGCGCATGCAGAATGAGTGAGCAGCATGATGGGATGAAGAAGAAGCGCATGCAGAATGAGTGAGCAGCATGATGGGATGAAGAAGAAGCGCATGCAGAATGAGTGAGCAGCATGATGGGATGAAGAAGAAGCGCATGCAGAATGAGTGAGCAGCATGATGGGATGAAGAAGAAGCGCATGCAGAATGAGTGAGCAGCATGATGGGATGAAGAAGAAGCGCATGCAGAATGAGTGAGCAGCATGATGGGATGAAGAAGAAGCGCATGCAGAATGAGTGAGCAGCATGATGGGATGAAGAAGAAGCGCATGCAGAATGAGTGAGCAGCATGATGGGATGAAGAAGAAGCGCATGCAGAATGAGCGAGCAGCATGATGGGATGAAGAAGAAGCGCATGCAGAATGAGTGAGCAGCATGATGGGATGAAGAAGAAGCGCATGCAGAATGAGTGAGCAGCATGATGGGATGAAGAAGAAGCGCATGCAGAATGAGTGAGCAGCATGATGGGATGAAGAAGAAGCGCATGCAGAATGAGTGAGCAGCATGATGGGATGAAGAAGAAGCGCATGCAGAATGAGTGAGCAGCATGATGGGATGAAGAAGAAGCGCATGCAGAATGAGTGAGCAGCATGATGGGATGAAGAAGAAGCGCATGCAGAATGAGTGAGCAGCATGATGGGATGAAGAAGAAGCGCATGCAGAATGAGTGAGCAGCATGATGGGATGAAGAAGAAGCGTATGCAGAATGAGTGAGCAGCATGATGGGATGAAGAAGAAGCGCATGCAGAATGAGTGAGCCGCATGATGGGATGAAGAAGAAGCGCATGCAGAATGAGTGAGCAGCATGATGGGATGAAGAAGAAGCGCATGCAGAATGAGTGAGCAGCATGATGGGATGAAGAAGAAGCGCATGCAGAATGAGTGAGCAGCATGATGGGATGAAGAAGAAGCGCATGCAGAATGAGTGAGCAGCATGATGGGATGAAGAAGAAGCGCATGCAGAATGAGTGAGCAGCATGATGGGATGAAGAAGAAGCGCATGCAGAATGAGTGAGCAGCATGATGGGATGAAGAAGAAGCGCATGCAGAATGAGTGAGCAGCATGATGGGATGAAGAAGAAGCGCATGCAGAATGAGTGAGCAGCATGATGGGATGAAGAAGAAGCGCATGCAGAATGAGTGAGCAGCATGATGGGATGAAGAAGAAGCGCATGCAGAATGAGTGAGCAGCATGATGGGATGAAGAAGAAGCGCATGCAGAATGAGTGAGCAGCATGATGGGATGAAGAAGAAGCGCATGCAGAATGAGCGAGCAGCATGATGGGATGAAGAAGAAGCGCATGCAGAATGAGTGAGCAGCATGATGGGATGAAGAAGAAGCGCATGCAGAATGAGTGAGCAGCATGATGGGATGAAGAAGAAGCGCATGCAGACTGAGTGAGCAGCATGATGGGATGAAGAAGAAGCGCATGCAGAATGAGTGAGCAGCATGATGGGATGAAGAAGAAGCGCATGCAGAATGAGTGAGCAGCATGATGGGATGAAGAAGAAGCGCATGCAGAATGAGCGAGCAGCATGATGGGATGAAGAAGAAGCGCATGCAGAATGAGTGAGCAGCATGATGGGATGAAGAAGAAGCGCATGCAGAATGAGTGAGCAGCATGATGGGATGAAGAAGAAGCGCATGCAGACTGAGTGAGCAGCATGATGGGATGAAGAAGAAGCGCATGCAGAATGAGTGAGCAGCATGATGGGATGAAGAAGAAGCGCATGCAGAATGAGTGAGCAGCATGATGGGATGAAGAAGAAGCGCATGCAGACTGAGTGAGCAGCATGATGGGATGAAGAAGAAGCGCATGCAGAATGAGTGAGCAGCATGATGGGATGAAGAAGAAGCGCATGCAGAATGAGTGAGCAGCATGATGGGATGAAGAAGAAGCGCATGCAGACTGAGTGAGCAGCATGATGGGATGAAGAAGAAGCGCATGCAGAATGAGTGAGCAGCATGATGGGATGAAGAAGAAGCGCATGCAGACTGAGTGAGCAGCATGATGGGATGAAGAAGAAGCGCATGCAGAATGAGTGAGCAGCATGATGGGATGAAGAAGAAGCGCATGCAGAATGAGTGAGCAGCATGATGGGATGAAGAAGAAGCGCATGCAGACTGAGTGAGCAGCATGATGGGATGAAGAAGAAGCGCATGCAGAATGAGCGAGCAGCATGATGGGATGAAGAAGAAGCGCATGCAGAATGAGTGAGCAGCATGATGGGATGAAGAAGAAGCGCATGCAGAATGAGCGAGCAGCATGATGGGATGAAGAAGAAGCGCATGCAGAATGAGTGAGCAGCATGATGGGATGAAGAAGAAGCGCATGCAGAATGAGTGAGCAGCATGATGGGATGAAGAAGAAGCGCATGCAGAATGAGTGAGCAGCATGATGGGATCAAGAAGAAGCGCATGCAGAATGAGTGAGCAGCATGATGGGATGAAGAAGAAGCGCATGCAGAATGAGTGAGCAGCATGATGGGATGAAGAAGAAGCGCATGCAGAATGAGTGAGCAGCATGATGGGATCAAGAAGAAGCGCATGCAGAATGAGTGAGCAGCATGATGGGATGAAGAAGAAGCGCATGCAGAATGAGTGAGCAGCATGATGGGATGAAGAAGAAGCGCATGCAGACTGAGTGAGCAGCATGATGGGATGAAGAAGAAGCGCATGCAGAATGAGTGAGCAGCATGATGGGATCAAGAAGAAGCGCATGCAGAATGAGTGAGCAGCATGATGGGATGAAGAAGAAGCGCATGCAGAATGAGTGAGCAGCATGATGGGATGAAGAAGAAGCGCATGCAGAATGAGTGAGCAGCATGATGGGATGAAGAAGAAGCGCATGCAGACTGAGTGAGCAGCATGATGGGATGAAGAAGAAGCGCATGCAGAATGAGTGAGCAGCATGATGGGATGAAGAAGAAGCGCATGCAGAATGAGTGAGCAGCATGATGGGATGAAGAAGAAGCGCATGCAGACTGAGTGAGCAGCATGATGGGATGAAGAAGAAGCGCATGCAGACTGAGTGAGCAGCATGATGGGATGAAGAAGAAGCGCATGCAGAATGAGTGAGCAGCATGATGGGATGAAGAAGAAGCGCATGCAGAATGAGTGAGCAGCATGATGGGATGAAGAAGAAGCGCATGCAGAATGAGTGAGCAGCATGATGGGATGAAGAAGAAGCGCATGCAGAATGAGTGAGCAGCATGATGGGATGAAGAAGAAGCGCATGCAGAATGAGTGAGCAGCATGATGGGATGAAGAAGAAGCGCATGCAGAATGAGTGAGCAGCATGATGGGATGAAGAAGAAGCGCATGCAGAATGAGTGAGCAGCATGATGGGATGAAGAAGAAGCGCATGCAGACTGAGCGAGCAGCATGATGGGATGAAGAAGAAGCGCATGCAGAATGAGTGAGCAGCATGATGGGATGAAGAAGAAGCGCATGCAGAATGAGTGAGCAGCATGATGGGATGAAGAAGAAGCGCATGCAGAATGAGTGAGCAGCATGATGGGATGAAGAAGAAGCGCATGCAGAATGAGCGAGCAGCATGATGGGATGAAGAAGAAGCGCATGCAGAATGAGCGAGCAGCATGATGGGATGAAGAAGAAGCGCATGCAGAATGAGTGAGCAGCATGATGGGATGAAGAAGAAGCGCATGCAGAATGAGTGAGCAGCATGATGGGATGAAGAAGAAGCGCATGCAGAATGAGTGAGCAGCATGATGGGATGAAGAAGAAGCGCATGCAGAATGAGTGAGCAGCACGATGGGATGAAGAAGAAGCGCATGCAGAATGAGTGAGCAGCATGATGGGATGAAGAAGAAGCGCATGCAGAATGAGCGAGCAGCATGATGGGATGAAGAAGAAGCGCATGCAGAATGAGTGAGCAGCATGATGGGATGAAGAAGAAGCGCATGCAGAATGAGTGAGCAGCATGATGGGATGAAGAAGAAGCGCATGCAGACTGAGTGAGCAGCATGATGGGATGAAGAAGAAGCGCATGCAGAATGAGCGAGCAGCATGATGGGATGAAGAAGAAGCGCATGCAGAATGAGTGAGCAGCATGATGGGATGAAGAAGAAGCGCATGCAGAATGAGTGAGCAGCATGATGGGATGAAGAAGAAGCGCATGCAGAATGAGTGAGCAGCATGATGGGATGAAGAAGAAGCGCATGCAGAATGAGTGAGCAGCATGATGGGATGAAGAAGAAGCGCATGCAGAATGAGTGAGCAGCATGATGGGATCAAGAAGAAGCGCATGCAGAATGAGTGAGCAGCATGATGGGATGAAGAAGAAGCGCATGCAGAATGAGTGAGCAGCATGATGGGATGAAGAAGAAGCGCATGCAGAATGAGCGAGCAGCATGATGGGATGAAGAAGAAGCGCATGCAGAATGAGTGAGCAGCATGATGGGATGAAGAAGAAGCGCATGCAGAATGAGTGAGCAGCATGATGGGATGAAGAAGAAGCGCATGCAGAATGAGTGAGCAGCATGATGGGATGAAGAAGAAGCGCATGCAGAATGAGCGAGCAGCATGATGGGATGAAGAAGAAGCGCATGCAGAATGAGTGAGCAGCATGATGGGATGAAGAAGAAGCGCATGCAGAATGAGTGAGCAGCATGATGGGATGAAGAAGAAGCGCATGCAGAATGAGTGAGCAGCATGATGGGATGAAGAAGAAGCGCATGCAGAATGAGTGAGCAGCATGATGGGATGAAGAAGAAGCGCATGCAGAATGAGTGAGCAGCATGATGGGATGAAGAAGAAGCGCATGCAGAATGAGTGAGCAGCATGATGGGATGAAGAAGAAGCGCATGCAGACTGAGTGAGCAGCATGATGGGATGAAGAAGAAGCGCATGCAGAATGAGTGAGCAGCATGATGGGATGAAGAAGAAGCGCATGCAGAATGAGTGAGCAGCATGATGGGATGAAGAAGAAGCGCATGCAGAATGAGTGAGCAGCATGATGGGATGAAGAAGAGCCGCATGCAGAATGAGTGAGCAGCATGATGGGATGAAGAAGAAGCGCATGCAGAATGAGTGAGCAGCATGATGGGATGAAGAAGAAGCGCATGCAGAACGAGTGAGCAGCATGTGGGATGAGAAGCGAATGCCAGGTGGTCACCCGTCGCCCCAGCTTAAGAGTCCATGCAACCCTATGCATCAACCCCATGCATCAACCCCATGCATCAACCCCATGCATCAACCCCGTGCATCAACCCCATGCATCAACCCCATGCATCAACCCCATGCATCAACCCCATGCATCAACCCCATGCATCAACCCCATGCGTCAACCCCATGCATCAACCCCATGCATCAACCCAATGCATCCACCCTATGCATCAACCCCACCAAAGGCATCCAGCACAGGCAGGTAACCGTTCACCATGAGCCTATGACCTCGCTCTGATAAGTACTTATGGAAAATAAGCTCATGCTGAAAATAAGTCAAAAATAAGTCCTCCTGGCACTCTTCCCTCCCACACGTTCCACACGAAGTCTCAAGGCTCAACAATGTGCCTCAACCTTCCTACCTTTAGTTGGGTGTCACAAAGTTGATAGCTAACTTCTTCTCAAACCGTCACTGTGCCTTCGTTTCTCAAGATTATTTGTCACCCTAAATCCGGTCTTTCAGTCACGAAGAGAGGCACGAAATATTTCCTCAGTTGCATCCCAAATTTGGCAACTCTGGCGAAAGTATTTTATTCAGCGACCCACTGCAAGCTACTTCAATGCCACCCTGTTTCGCAAGCCAATCCCTCCTCCTGCCCCAACCAGCCTTCTTACGGTACCTTTGAAAGCTATGGACCTCGGGTTTAAACCTTCTCCACTTGCCCAGCTCCATTCCCGCACATTGCACTGGAATGCCTACCACATGCTCCTTCCACCACCCAACAAGGCTGCCAGCCTACCACTACTTCTCTTTTGTTACCCAACAACAACGCGTTACACTTGAGTTACGCCGTACGCAGTACAATTGGCATATTAACTGCATGCTCATGCTCATCCACCAGTCTAACCGACCCAAACAGAAACCTCTTCACAGCCTTCTTCGTCTTGATAACCATCTTGATTCGCTGCACCTCTCCCGGCCCAATCGTAAACTTGCGCGGCGGCACTCGAACCTGCACATCAGATGGGACCCGAACCTGCACAGTGTACGTCGACGGCTGGTCAAACACATTCCGAACCGTGCGCACTATCTTCTTCCCGCGGACCGACAGCCGTGAGATCGAGATCGTTGGACGGTTGAGATTCCACGGCTTGCGCGCCCGGATCCCCTACAGCCCCGGAAACGCGCGCTTGGTCTGCTTAAACTTCCGACTTGCAAGGAAATTCACATAATCGTTAAACCCTGAGGTTAAAGTCAACCCGGGGTCTAAAATCCTCGACGGGTCAACCTGACCGGAGCCAAAATCCCACGGAGTAGCCGCTTTCCCATTTGCGCGTTTGATTGGCTGGCCGGCATAGTTTACTGTAGATGCTGTAGTCATCATTGCTGACATCACCTGGGCGGGCGTCCAGCCTGGATTCTTCTGGATTAGTAATGCCGCGATTCCGGCGAGATGTGGTGTAGCCATGGATGTACCCGAAATGCACTGGAACATGGGAGGTTCGGTGGCTGCCGAAGCTGCGCTCTCGCCTCGGTATGAGGACCAGAGCTGGAACCCTGGACCTACTATGTCCGGCTTTAAGATGTCATTGGTTGGGAGCAAGGATGGGACTGGGAACAGGGATGGGTTTACGGTTGGTCCAGTGGAAGAGAAATCAGTCATTTGGGGGGCGTTAGGAGGAATTTGTGGCGATGACTTCGCTAAGTGTCGCCACGGGATTGGTCGTCTGTTCCATGTAATTGTTCACCTGCCCGCCCTGCGCGTTGGTGAGGTACAGGAGGGGCAGGTCGGTGAAAGGAAGCTCGCCCAAGTTGTCTGTATCGGGAGAGCCACTAAGGAGGACAAGTGCTGCTGCCTTGTAATATGCAAAGAAGCCGATGGACACTCCAACTGATGGTTCATACGTGCAGATGATTATTCGCCCCGCCAATTTGCTTATGTCGATGGCTGTCCAGTCACACAGAGCAGCCTGGGGGGTTCATTGGAAAGGGGTAAGGAACCAATCAAGCACAGGGAACAAGAGAGTAAGGTTGGATTGTGCACTTTATTGACCCTCTGTGCCGTGCCTGCTAAGTCCCTCCTCTGAGCTGAGCCACACCCCATACCCAGGGAACCAAACAAGCACAGGGAACAAGAGAGTAAGGTTGGATTGTGCACTTTATCGACCCTCTGTGCCGTGCCTGCTAAGTCCCTCCTCTGAGATGAGCCACGCCCCATACCCAGGGAACCAATCAAGCACAGGGAACAAGAGAGTAAGGTTGGATTGTGCACTTTATTGACCCTCTGTGCCGTGCCTGCTAAGTCCCTCCTCTGAGCTGAGCCACACCCCATACCCAGGGAACCAAACAAGCACAGGGAACAAGAGAGTAAGGTTGGATTGTGCACTTTATCGACCCTCTGTGCCGTGCCTGCTAAGTCCCTCCTCTGAGCTGAGCCACGCCCCATACCCAGGGAACCAATCAAGCACAGGGAACAAGAGAGTAAGGTTGGATTGTGCACTTTATTGACCCTCTGTGCCGTGCCTGCTAAGTCCCTCCTCTGAGCTGAGCCACGCCCCATACCCAGGGAACCAATCAAGCACAGGGAACAAGAGAGTAAGGTTGGATTGTGCACTTTATTGACCCTCTGTGCCGTGCCTGGTAAGTCCCTCCTCTGAGCTGAGCCACGCCCCATACCCAGGGAACCAATCAAGCACAGGGAACAAGAGAGTAAGGTTGGATTGTGCACTTTATTGACCCTCTGTGCCGTGCCTGCTAAGTCCCTCCTCTGAGCTGAGCCACACCCCATACCCAGGGAACCAACCAAGCACAGGGAACAAGAGAGTAAGGTTAGAATGTGCACATGAGAGGATTCAACCCGCCAGCTTGGTTTTGATGTTGTCAATGGCTGGCTCTGATGCTAAGACTTTCGAGGCACCTCAAAAGCGAACCCGCCAGCTTGGTTTCGATGTTGTCAATGGCTGGCTCTGATGTTGCATAGAGCTGCTGCAGGGTGTTTTTGAGAATTCTCAAAAAAGCACCCTGCAGCGCATGAGAGGATTCAACCCGCCAGCTTGGTTTCGATGTTGTCAGTGGCTCTGATGTTGCATAGAGCGGCCCGGCGGTAAGTCAATTTTCTAGTCGACTCGAAAATAGAAAAAAAAACGACTTTTGAGTCGACTAAAAAATCGCCAGCTTGGTTTTGATGTTGTCGATGGCTCTGATGTTGCATAGAGCGGCCCGGTGGCTTGACAGCAGCAGCGGGCAGCAGCAGCAGCAGCAGCAGAGGCGGGCAGAAGCACGATGAGCAGTGTAACCCTTTGAGCTCAAATGTCACCATGTGTGCCAAGGGGCGTGTGACTCACATCAGCGGCAGAGGCGGGCAGAACAGAAGCACTATGTTCCCATGCAGAAGGGGCGGGCAGAAGCACTATGTTCCCATGCAGAAGGGGCGGGCAGAAGCACTATGTTCCCATGCAGAAGGGGCGGGCAGAAGCTCAAATGTCACCATGTGTGCCAAGGGGAGTGTGACTCACATCAGCAGCAGAGGCACCAGGCAAGACAGCAGCAGCAGCGGGCAGCAGCACTTTATTGACCGTCTGTGCCGTGCCTGCTAAGTCCCTCCTCTGAAAAACAAGCTCAAATGTCACCATGTGTGCCAAGGGGCGTGTGACTCACATCAGCAGCAGAGGCACCAGGCAAGACAGCAGCAGCAGCGGGCAGCAGCACTTTATTGACCGTCTGTGCCGTGCCTGCTAAGTCCCTCCTCTGAAAAACAAGCTCAAATGTCACCATGTGTGCCAAGGGGCGTGTGACTCACATCAGCAGCAGAGGCACCAGGCAAGACAGCAGCAGCAGCGGGCAGCAGCACTTTATTGACCGTCTGTGCCGTGCCTGCTAAGTCCCTCCTCTGAAAAACAAGCTCAAATGTCACCATGTGTGCCAAGGGGCGTGTGACTCACATCAGCAGCAGAGGCACCAGGCAAGACAGCAGCAGCAGCGGGCAGCAGCACTTTATTGACCGTCTGTGCCGTGCCTGCTAAGTCCCTCCTCTGAAAAACAAGCTCAAATGTCACCATGTGTGCCAAGGGGCGTGTGACTCACATCAGCAGCAGAGGCACCAGGCAAGACAGCAGCAGCAGCGGGCAGCAGCACTTTATTGACCGTCTGTGCCGTGCCTGCTAAGTCCCTCCTCTGAAAAACAAGCTCAAATGTCACCATGTGTGGCAAGGGGAGTGTGACTCACATCAGCAGCAGAGGCACCAGGCAAGACAGCAGCAGCAGCGGGCAGCAGCACTTTATTGACCGTCTGTGCCGTGCCTCCGAAGCTCACTCCCCTCAGCTCCTCCCCATTCCCCAGAATCAGCTTTGCCAAGTACTGCCGACCGATGGTGCTGTGGGAGGGGAGAGAGGGATGAGTTGAGGGAGGGGAGGGAGGGATGTACAGAGGGGTGTGAGACTTTTCTGACTGTCTACTACTCGGTGCCCTCCGAAACTCACTCCCCAAAGCTCCACTCCGTGTCTTCTTTTGAGGCGTCCCTGAGCTCCCCTGAGCGCCCCTGAGCTCCCCTGAGCGCCCCTGAGCTCCCCTGAGCTCCCCTGAGCTCCCTGCATGGCTGTCTGCGCAGTGCCTCCTCTACTCGGTGCCTCCAAAGCCTACTCCCCTGAGCTCCACTCCGTGTCTTCTTTTGAGGCGTCCCTGAGCTCCCCTGAGCGCCCCTGAGCTCCCCTGAGCTCCCCTGAGCTCCCCTGAGCTCCCCTGAGCTCCCTGCATGGCTGTCTGCGCAGTGCCTCCTCTACTCGGTGCCTCCAAAGCCTACTCCCCTGAGCTCCACTCCGTGTCTTCTTTTGAGGCGCCCCTGAGCTCCCCTGAGCGCCTCAAAAGTAGACTCCACACCGTGCCGTGCCCCAGGATCAGCTTTGCCAAGTACTGCCGACCGATGGTGCTGTGGCTGATACAGCAGGGGAGCGAGGAGAGGGGAGAGGTAGGGGAGGCGGGGAGGAAGGGGAAGGAGGGATATGAGGGGGGAGGAGAGAAACGAGGGGGAAGGAGGGATACGAGGGGGAAGGATTATGATTGGGGTGCATTTGCATTCCCCCCTTTCCTGCGCTGCATCCCAGTTTTGAGACGTCTCAAACCTAGATTATGAGATGTCTCAAAACTATATTATGAGACATCTCAGAACTAGATTATGAGACGTCTCAAAACTAGAATTGGCATCACTTTCGAGAACTTGTGAGACGTCTCAAAAGTCGGACACCGCTGGAATCACTTTGAGAATTATCAAAAGAGGTTTCAACTTCTAAGAATTCTCAAGGTGCATCCCACCCACTCACTCCCATAAGCTCCATCCCATACCCCAAGCCATGGAAGGTGTAAATCACTTCCAGCACACCGTTTCCAGCATCCCACACTGTTTCCAGCATCCCACACCGTTTCCAGCATCCCACACCGTTTCGGCCATGGAAGCCATCTCACTTCACACTGCTTCCAGCACACTGTGTCCCCCTCTCTCGAAGCCTCCTCATCAGCAAACCTCTTCCGTTCAACAAAGAATCTCTCGCAACTTACATTGCCCCCACCCCACTGTCTGTGTCACTGGGTGTTTTTGAGAGTGTTTTTGAGAATTCTCAAAAACACCCTGAAGCGTCTTCATCATCAGCACACCTCTTCCGTTCAACAAAGAATCTCTCTCAACTTACATTGCCCCCACTGTGTGTCACTTTCTCACCAAGTGTTTTCTCTCAACTTACGTTGCTGAGCGTCCCCAGCACCAGCACACAAGGTATTACTCTCAGCACACTCAGCCCACCTTTTCACCAAGTGTTTTCTCTCAACTTACGTTGCTCCCACTGTCAGGTACCACGGAGCAACGTTGTCAATCGTCCCCACCTCACGCGTAGGAGAGGGAGGCCCCGCGTTGCCTGCTGCCATCGCCACAAACACACCCGCCTGCCAGCATTGCCAGGGGTGGAGTGGAGTGGGTGGGGTGGGGTGGGGTGGGGTGGGGTGGGGTGGGGTGGGAAGGGGTAAGAAGGGGATTGCGCATGGGGGAGGGAGGCCCCGCGTTGCCTGCTGCCATCGCCACAAACACCCCCGCCTGCCAGCATTGCCAGGGGTGGAGTGGAGTGGGTGGGGTGGGGTGGGGTGGGGTGGGGTGGGAAGGGGTAAGAAGGGGATTGCGCATGGGGGAGGGAGGCCCCGAGTTGCCTGCTGCCATCGCCACAAACACCCCCGCCTGCCAGCATTGCCAGGGGTGGAGTGGGGTGGGGTGGGGTGGGGTGGGAAGGGGCAAGAAGGGGCCTTGGGCCCTTGGGATCATCTCAAGTCACTCCCGTACGTTGGCTGGGCAGCAGAGGATGCGGCGAGAGGGAAGAGGGGGCTGTACGAGGGGGGCGCCCAGATTTCGTGGGGGTGTTTGGGCTGGCGGTGGAGACCTATGGGGCATTAGCACAAGACACCCAGAGGTTCCTCCGACTCCTTGGCACCAGGCGGCCAAGAAGAAGTACAGGCACGGGAGGCTCACCACCGTGGCCTCCAAACTGACTGCACACTACCGACAGCGATGGCCGGTGATTCTCCAGCGCAGCCAGGCCAATACCCTGCTGGCAAAGTCCAACAGGGCAACAGAGCGTGCGTTCCCCCAGGCCCCAGTCGACTCGTGGGAGCCCCGCCTTGGGGACCTCTGGCAAGTCCTTGAGGACGAGGTGGACTGGGGCCCGGCCCTAGATGGGTGAGGGGCTGGAGTAAGGGGGCTGGAGTGAGGTGGATGGGGTGTGAGGCCACTCCAGGCTGCGGTCCTAAAGCACTAGGCACTAGGTGAGCCTCATGGCTGCTCTGGCCAACTAGCATGCGTGCCACCAGGGGGTGATTGCTATTGTCATGTGTTACTTGCATGCTAGCCGGCTAGACACCTAGACTACATGCTAGAATTGCTGATTCTTACATGCCTTGCCTGTACCCTGCTTACTATCAATGAAGGACCGCTTGAGAGAGCACGTCCACACCACACCATCCGCCATAGCAGCATACCTTGGGATCATCTTTAAAGCCTCACCTTAGCCTCTTGAGTCGACTCAAAAGTCACCTTGGGATCATCTCCAAAGCCTCACCCTTAGCCTTATGAGTCACCCCAAAAGTCACCTTGGGATCATCTCCAAAGCTGCACCTTAGCCGCGGTCATGTGTCTGAACATTTTTCGTCAATTAAAAAAAATTCAACCTCACCATTGTGGACCAAGTATGTCCCAGAGGATAGTTTTTTACCTTTGGTCTTACAGGTCGAGGGTTCAACTCTCAGCAGCTGCACTTTCCCTCCCCTATTCCTTTCCTACACTCGTAATGACTCCCACCACCAAGTGGTGCTCCCAAAGCCTCACCTTAGCTGCATTCATGTAGTGGATGTGTGAAAAGGATCGGGGCTCTGAATCCCCCAAAGAGAGAGAGAGCACATCCACACCGTCCGCCACAGCAGCATCAACGGCGGCTCGGATGTCGGAGTTGGCGCCGGCCGCTGCGCCGAGGGCCTTCACCACCCACAGCGCCTTGTACATGGCGATGCGCGCCCGCGGTGCCACACCGCTCGCGGATCCAAAGTTGCGCCCGCCCATCTCCACACTCACGTTGGCGTTCCCCGCTGCCGCTCTGATGTGTTTTGATCAGGGAGGGGAGCGGTGCAGGGCGGGGGAGGTGGGGATGAGAACCACAGCGGCCTCAACGGCGGCTCGAATGTCGGAGTAGGACCCAGCCGCTGCGCCGAGGCCCTCACGACTTTTGAGTCTACTCAAAAGTCAACTCGGCGGCTCGGATGTCGGAGTTGGCGCCGGCCGCTGCGCCGACTTCCTTCACCACCCAGAGCGCCTTGTACATGGCGATGCGTGCACGCGGCGCCACGCCGCTCGCTGCCCCGTAGCTTCGACCACTCTTCTCCACACTCACGTTGGCGTTGCCAGCAGCGGCTCTGTTGGGTTAAGAGGGGTGGAGAGGGATGAGATGATGGGTTCCTTGACCACTCACCTCCACATTCACGTTGGCGTTCCCAGCAGCGGCTCTGTTGGGTTTAGAGCGGTGGAGAGGGATGAGATGATGGGGTCCTTGACCGCTCATGTCCACACTCACGTTGGCGTTGCCCGCTGCTGCGTTGTTGGGTTGGGATGGGTGGAGGGAGATGTGAGACGGTAGATTAAAGCTCCACACTCACGTTCGTGTTGCTCGCTGCCGCACTGATGATATTGGAGGGAGAAAGGCGCGAAGGGGGACGAGGAGTATGGAGGATAGGAGGAAGTGCAGATGAAGCATAGGAGGAGTGTACTTTCATATAAGGAGGATAAACTATATAAGAGTAAAGGAGGATAGCGCGTGTAATAAACACCACTTTGTAATAAACACACTCACCCCGCACACCACTCACCTCCAACACCACTCACCCCGCACACCACGTGCCGTGCCCGTCTCCATCCCGGGCAGACGAAAAGTCGTCCGGATCCACATCCTGCCCGGACTTGAGGAACCCGCTGTTGAAATATTTTGCACCAATGAGTTTGCCGTTGCAGAGCGAGGCTGGGAAATCCGCCGTTGCTGCACACCCGCCGAACCAGCGGTCCGGGACCGGCCCGTAGGGGTCTGCAGGCTGTGGAAGTGAACAAGGGGAAACGAAGATGGAGAAAGTGGAGAGAGAAGGGAAAGGGGACAGGGAAGGGAAATTAGATGGGAAAAGGAGAGGGGATGGGGAAGGGGGGAAGGTGTGAGGGGGAATGGCACGGGGAGGAGGGGGGGGTGTGATTGGGGTTGAAGAATTTGGCACCGATAAGCTTGCCGTTGCAGAGCGAGGATGGGAAGTCCGCCATTGGAAGGGGAAAGGGGATTGGGAAAGGAGACGAACGGAAAGGAGGGTGGTGTGGGTGAAGGAGAGGCAGGAGAGAGGGGGGTGGTTGCAGAGGGGAGCAGGAGAAGGACAACAAGAAGATGATGCAAACTTGCAACAAATGATTGCTATAAATTATTATAATGCTTACCGTGTTTGCGAAAGAAGGGTGTTCCGGCCAGATTCCCGAATCTATCACGCCTATAATCACATCCTCGCCCGCGCGGCTCTGCCCCCCGTTTGCAGCCCACAGGCTCGTCGGCAACTTCAAGAAAGTCGGTGAGTCTACAGTGAGCGCGCGAACCTGCCCTAGAAAAAAAAAAAAGTTAGTGTTGGAAACTACACAGCAATATATTGAGGCACGATAAAAGCGAGGAAATATGTTTTTGAGAGAATATTTGGTCTCTATACACTCACTGAGCTTTTACAATATTATTTTAGAGAGCATTTTCGGGCTGTTACGAACAGCCAACCTTGTATTACGCAATCGTCTAAACGATTCCCACAGACACTGCACGACCCCTCACGATCACCTCCTCTAGCCCTCTTATAGGGATTTGGGGGCCTCCAACATTCTTGGAGTGCGACTGCAAAAGTTGTTCGTAACAGCCTGTTACGAGCCCGGAAAGCAGCCTTAGGGTTCAGGGTTGTTACCCTCCATATTCTGATCCTCCTCGTCCCAATCCCCGCTCCACACTCCCCCTCCCCCTACTTTGACTCCACCCTTGCTCTATCCCCCCAGTCTCGGCCACCTATCTTTCACTTCCCTCTCACCCCCGCTCTCTCCTCTTCAAGAAGTTCTTCCCCGCTTCCCCATTCTTTCCTCGTCTCCTCCTAGCGAATCGATTTCTTCACTAGTATCTCGTCTTTTCACTCACGGGTTTGTCTTCTTCAATCCACGCCACAGCAGAATGCTGCTTCAGCCGTTTCGCTTCCACGTCCGTCAGCGATACAGCGAACCCGTTTACCGTATACGTGTAGCTCTGGAACATCTGCGACGGCGAAATGTTGTTCTTTCGCAAAAACTGCCGCTGCGAATCCCGCAGAAACTTGACAAAAGATTTCACGTTCGCCCGCCGCACGTCCGCGCGCCTTTTGATTCGATCCGCAAGCCGCCGTATCGCTTTCCAAGGAGCTACTAACGGTGCCACAGCGGATGTGCCACTAACGGTGGCGAGTCGGGCCGCGCTGAGCCCTTGAAGCGTCGCTGCTGCCAGCGTGACATTTGTAGCGCTGTTGTCGCCAACTGTAGAATCGTCGGTTGTAGCGCCGCCGGCTGTAGCTCCGCCAGTTGGGAAAGGAACTCCCGCTGGATCCGCTCCTCCTCCTGCGGCTCCGGTTCCTGCACCTCCTTCCGGAATGTCGCCTGAGTTTCCACCTGAGACACCCGAACCGTCACTGGAACCGTCACCTGAACCGCCACCTGGACTATCAACCGGAGCGCTATCGTCGTCATCCGCGTCGGTGGGGCTGCTCTCGGGGTCGTTGTCGTCTAGCTCCGGCGCGGTCGCCGCCAGCCCCGCCACGCCGCCGCGGTAGTTTAGCACCGGCGGCACCGCCGCCAGGTGCACTATGTACTGCTTGCGCAGGGGCGCCGCGGCTTTCGCGCGCGTAGCTGTGGAGAGGGAGGTGTGAAAGGTCGGGAGTGAGGGAGGGGGGGCGGGGGTGAAGCGGAGAGCGGAACGGTCGCCATGCACCCTTGCGCACAGGCGCCTCGGCTTTTAGAGCGCACAGCTGGGCGGTTGGAGGGGAAAGAGCGGCAGCGAGTCATCACGAAAGAGTGTGGCTACGAAATGCAGCCGGGTATCTAGAGTAACCACATTATATCCTTCGAGCTCCCTAAAATGTCAAGAAAGTGTTTCGACACCACATTTGCGCGGAAGGTCGGCGGACCGATGCTTGCTGGGTGCGTTATAAAAAATAACAGAAAACAAGCCTGTCTCGAAATTACAACGGTTTCGACGAGAATCGAACACTCTCCTTTGGACCAACACGCTAAGTTTCGATTTCCGTACAGGAAATCAGAGCACAAAGACAGTTTTGGGACATGTGAAATTGAATATGGTACGTTTGTTCCGTGATTCAACTGGCGCATACAAGGAAGTAAGAATCTTCTTAGCACTGTTATGTCAGTAGTACTATGGTAGGCCCCCAATCTCGTACCCTGCGACGTCGGGAGTCCTCCTGCAACGAATGCCACCAAGCAGACGACGGCCAGCCATCTCAACACCATCGTCGCCGACCATTTCGCAGGATCGCTAGGCGACACGTTCCGTCTCCTGCCGGTCGCCCACGTCGCTGCGCGAGAGCAGGCGATCGTGCGACTCATCTCGACGCTCCAAAAGGAGCTGAGATCCTCCGAAGAGCACGAATGTCTCAACCTTGTAGAAGTCGACACTTTCGTACAAATTCACACGGGACCGAAATGAAGAACTAGCGTACTACCGAGTGAGAACCGTTTCTATAGCGCGACTGCGGCGTCTGCTGCTAGTAGCAATTTGAACAGATGGCGAGGAGCGAGGGACTTCGTCTAAAAAAAAATAAGCCTCTGATGTTACTTTGATCTAACCCTAAAGTTGCCGCGATAGCGACTCCGAGGTGTGTGAGAGGACTCAGCGCCTTCCTGTGACATTGTCTCATGAAACGGCACTCGGACCCAGGCACTCGGAGTGGAGACGTCGGAGGGTTTCGTGGCAACCTCGTTGCTCTACTACTACTCTGAGCGTTTCGTTGACGTGAACGCTCAGAGTAGAGATGAGCAATGAGGCCGCAGGACCTTCCCATCAAACCCGATCCCCCAACAACCATCGACTGGCCTGTAGCTGCTGCTAAGACGGCTGCTGGGAAAGCGCAAATATATGTTTGAATGCGGGACGGGTTCGAATGCGCCGAGTCGGCGATGTGCTACTACAACCTGTTGGTGTATGGAATGGATGAAATCGACTCGGGTTTTTGCTGTACTGTAGGTTTCGGTTGCAAGCCATGAAATTCACGGGAGAGAGTAAAGAGTTGGCGTGCTGTGCGATTCGAGCCGACATTTGGGAGAAGGAGAGGCACGGGACAGAGGGGGGAGCTTGGTCTGAACTGAAACCGTGCCCACACATTTGGTACCGGGCAGTTGCCTGCGGTTTACAGCAGATATCTTTTTGGGTAGGTGGTTCGTCAAAAATCACAACTTGTGGTACAAAACAGCCCCAGCTCCCCTTGTGCTAAACCCTCGCGCACCCTATTTCGGGCATCGCAGAAGGGAATGCGATGATTACGAGGAAGGGGAAGGGGGAGGGGAGGAGGAGGGTGTAATACTCATTAATGACTGGTTCGATATAGGGAGAGTAGAATAATCTATAATGACTGGTTATTTAGCCACAAGAAGAATTGCAATGTACTGCCTATAGCAACTCATCTACAGCCTTGATATTCTTATTGAGAGTGCCTTTCCTTCCTGAGAAACACCCCTTGAGTGAGAACACTCAGCGTGAATTTCTGTCACTGCATGAACAGGCAGCGAAACATCCATCGCAATCCAAGGTCTTCTTGTTGATGGCGCTCCAGATCTAGATGCACCATCCACATTCGCATTGGACGGACCTGCCTCAATCTCCCCTGAAACCACATGCTGGGTCAATGACGATGGGCCGGAAACCCTAGTGCTGCTGTCTCCCACTTGCCCCTGCTCAAGTGAGTTGTTGTAAGCTTCGGCACCATTCCCATAAGCTTCCACGTGAGGCAAATCGCTCCCTTCCCCAGTCACATCTCCTCCTGATACCACTGGCTCTGGCAGCAGTTCCGAGTGCTTCTTGCTATCATCCTTTCCTACCATCCTTGACCCTTCCCCGAAACCCAGCAATTGGACGAATTCCGCCGCCTCTCTCGCAGCTTGCCGCCCGGTGGAGAACGCGCCGTGAACAGTGCCGGGGTGGGCGCGGGAGGTGGCTTCTCCGGCAAAGAAAAGAGGAGGGAGGGGGGCGCGGAGGGAGTCGTAGACGTCGGGAGGGGCGTGAACTGCATCATAGGAGTAGGATCCGAGGGAGAAGGGGTCTGACCCCCACGTGGTGATGCGCGCCTGGATCTGCATGGCGGGGGAAAGGAGGTAGAAGTGGTAAAGTGGGGACAGAGAGGAGAGTTGGGGAGATCCGAGAGTGGAATTCCCACTTGCAGTGGGCGCGGGAAGTGGCTTCTCCGGCAAAGAACAGGGGAGGGAGGGGGGCGCGGATGGAATCGTAGACATCGGGAGGGGCATGCACTGCATCATAGGAGTAGGATCCGAGGGAGAATGGGTCTGACCCCCACGTGGTGATGCGCGCTTGGATCTGCGTGGGGGGGCCGAGGAGGGGAGAGTGAATAAAGGGAGGGGAGGGAGAGGAGAGTTGGAGAGATCACGAGTGGAATCCCCAATTGGTGTGAGCGCAGGAGGTGGCTTCGGTGGCAGAAATTCAGCCTGGTAGACGTCGGGAGGGGTGTGCACTGCATCATAGGAGTAGGATCCGAGGGAGAAGGGGTCTGAGCCCCACGTGGTTATGCGAGCCTGGATCTGTTCAGAGGTCAGATTGAAAAAGCAAACGGGAGGGAATGAAAGACATCAGGAGGGGCGTGCACTGCATTGTAGGAGTAGGCTCCAAGCGAGAAAGGTTCTGACCCCCACGTTGTGATTTGCGCCTGGATCTGCGTGTGGGGTTGGGTCAGAGTGAAGAAACGGAAGGGTGCAGATATTCAGCTTGGGGAGGGGAGGGGGGTACGGAGGGAGTTGTAAACGTGGGGAGGGGTCTGCAGTGAATTTCCTCCATCTCCTCCGCCAGCCTACTCGCCAGCATGACCACCAGCACCAACCCCTCGCCCCAGCTCGCCTCTATAGCATACCTACTTCAAGGCTTAACCTCCTTTATGTTGCAGGTTGTTTTTGAGAATTCTCAAAACCAACCTGCCTCTACAGCATACCTACTTATAAGCTTATACCTCCTTTCTCACACACACCTCACAAACAGACTCGTTCAAAGAAAAACGTGGTGAGAAGAAACTAGTGCTTCAGGCTCGAGGTAACTCACACGTTCAGGAGCACGGGGCAAGATCCTTGAGGTGCCTCTTAAGTACTATTAAGGCGCCAAAAATTTTGGCACTCACAGGTTCAGGCGCGTGGGGCAGGATCTTTCTGAGCTGCAGCATGGTGAACGCCACGGCCTCGCTCTCCCCCATCCCCTCCATCTCCTCTGCCAGCCTCCCCGCCGGCATAAACACCAGCACCGCCCTCTCGCCCCGGCTGGCCTTGTGCAGGTTCAGGAAGTAGCTGCATGCGTAGGGCGTGTCTGCTACAACCCCCAGGAATTCTACCGACGGCCAGAAGCAGGAGGGGAAGAGGAGGGCGATTTTGTTCTCGATGCCGACTCCGATGGAGTGGAGAGCGGTGCATTTGGATGGCGGGAGAGGAGGGGAGAAGTGGATGCGGTTGGGGTGGGTAGAGGTGGTGGACGGATGGGTGCTGCTGCTGCTGCTTATTCTGCTGCTGCTGCTGCATTTACAACTGTTACTGCCGTTACCGTTACTGCAGTTGCTACAGTTGCTGCAATTATCACCATTGGCTGGCTCAGCCAAGGGAATCTCCTGATTTGAGCTGCATACGTGGCCCACAGACAACCGCAGAACGCCAGCTGGCAGGGTGACAATCGCCACGTCAGCGGAGAAGATGGCACCGTCGGCCGTGGTGACATGGACACCGGGTCTACATGGCATGCTGACATCAGCTGCAGCTTCACCACTGCAAGAACGGAGATTCTGGGACATGTGACAGATAGGCGAGCAGCGTGCATCTGCAGCAGCAGGACTTACAGGGTTAGATATGCTGCTAATTCCGCTTCTGGTGTTGTGCATACTGTTACTACTGCCGAAAACGCACTCTCTACACCCCGTGCACCTGAGACTAGCACATGGTATGCGGTGGTTAGCGGAACCCTGCTCGGTGAGTCTGTTACACTGATGGCTGCCCTGCTGCTGCCCTGCCTGCACTGCTGCACCTACGCCTGTTGCCTCTACCCTCATTGCCAGCACCTCCCCTGCTGTACCTATCCCTCCGGATACTGATCTATCCAGATCCTGTGACGAGGACCAGTCAATGTTGACCACTCTGTGAGAAAGAATGCGGGAGAGAGAGAAAGCGGGTCGGAAAGAATGAAGCGGGCAGGAAAAGGGAAAAGCAGTGAAGGAAAGGATTTGCTGTAACTGCAACAGATGTCAAATGACTTTCGTAATGAGCCCAAAACACATAATTTCGTGACTTTATCGAGTGTACATGCTCACATACACGTCTCCAGGGCCACCACAACATCACATCACGCCATCACCTGTGATTAAAACGAATGTCCAGCCCAGCAGCTAGGGCGTCCAGCACAGGCAGGTAGCCGTTAACCATGAGGCCGTGACCCCCCTCCACTAGATCCTCCTGCATGCGGCATGATGGAGTGAGGAACACACGGTGAGGTCAGACATACGGACCATCATGGCACCAGGCCATGCACCCGTCCATGCACCCTCATGCATCAGTCCAGGGCGTCCAGCACATGCGGGTCCACCTGTAACCATACCATGCAGCATGCAGCATGATAGGATGAGTCACATGATGAGATGAGCAGCATGCACAATGAGCAGCAGTATGGGATAAGGAGCACACGATGAGGCCAGATGATCTCTAAAGGAACCAGTCCAATTACTATCCCATGCTCTTGCATCCATCAGACCGGCAAGCACAAGCCACGAGTCCAGCACAGGAGGAGGTTCTTCTCCTCCTCCCAGCATTTGGCAGAGAGGTTCTTCAGATCCGTGGCAAACCACCCCTCCATGCGGCACAAATACCACTGCAGCACCCTCAGACAACCCCCCATAGCCTTGACTCTGCTCCTTGTAGCTGTAGCCCTCTCCCCTGCATTAGAACCCTGCCTTCTTCCCCCCTGCCCCCACTCACCTCCTCCCAGCATTTGGCGGACAGGTTCTTCAGATCCGTGGCGAACCATCCCTCCATGCGGCACAGATACCACTGCAGCACGCGCCACTCCACCCCTTGCAGTCCGAATTCTGCCCCTTGTAGCTGTTACCCTGCCGCATTTGACACTCTGCCCCTTTGGATAAACCCTAACCCTGCCTCCTTTTCCCCCCAACTCACCTCCTCCCAGCATTTGGCTGACAGGTTCTTCAAGTCAGTGGCAAACCATCCCTCCATGCGGCACAGGTACCACTGCAGCACACGCCGCTCCACCCCCTGCAGTGTCAGGTCTGGCCTGCGCTGCTCCACCAGAGCCAAGGCATGCTCCATGTTCATGTCCTCGCTCGTGCTGGCGCATATCTTCCGAGTCTGGTGGTGTGGACATGGGATACAAAAGAGGAGAGGTCAGTTCACAGGTAACACCGCAGCACTTGCCGCTCCACCCTTGCAGCCTCCTCAAATCCGGCCTGCGCTGCTCCACCAGAGCCAAGGCATGCTCCATGTTCACGTCCTCGCTTGTATTGGCGCATATCTTCCGTGTCTGGTGGTGTGGAGGTGAGATACAAAGAGGAGCGGTCAGTTCCTGCAGCACCAGGTCTGGCCTCCGCTGCTGCACCAGTGCCAACGCATGCTACATGTTCATGTCGTGGCTGGCTTGTGTTGGCGCATATTTGACGCGTCTGGTGGCGCGGAGATGAGACGACAGAGACAAAGCGGGTCTCTACCTGAGGCGCCTTGAAATCTGCTCCACCATTGCCAACACATTCTCCATCGTCTTGGCAACCGTTTTACAAGGAGACCCAAAACAGGGAGGGATTATACTCTACTACCCCTTCTCCCCCCGAAGAAAGATTTAACCATTATTTCCCGAGCGGTCAAATATCAAAACCCAGGAGTGACTGACGGATACACACTAGTAAGCTGACGACTTACTTCTTCCAGCATCTCTTCAAACACCCTCTCGACGCGCTCCACCACTTCCTGGGGAATCAGTTTTTGAAAAGCTGACTGAAAGCACTTATTTACTCCGGACGAGCGGCCAACTCACCTCTTCCAGCATCTCTTCAAACACCCTCTCCACGCGCTCCACCACTTCCTGGGGAATCAGTTTTTGAAAAGCTGACTGAAAGCACTTATTTACTCCGGACGAGCGGCCAACTCACCTCTTCCAGCATCTCTTCAAACACCCTCTCCACGCGCTCCACCACTTCCTGGGGAATCAGTTTTTGAAAAGCTGACTGAAAGCACTTATTTACTCCGGACGAGCGGCCAACTCACCTCTTCCAGCATCTCTTCAAACACCCTCTCCACGCGCTCCACCACTTCCTGGGGAATCAGTTTTTGAAAAGCTGACTGAAAGCACTTATTTACTCCGGACGAGCGGCCAACTCACCTCTTCCAGCATCTCTTCAAACACCCTCTCCACGCGCTCCACCACTTCCTGGGGAATCTTCACCCCATCCTCATCGTACAGCGCATAGCTGAAACGGACCCGGGGGGGAGGGAGGGTGTTGGGTTGAGGGAGGAAAGGTAGCACCATGTGCACATTGTGTTTCAAAATCGGCTCGACGGAAATCACCCCATCCGCGCCAAACCAAAGCATGCCGTTGAGGGTTGGAGGGGAGAGCATGATTTTGTTAGAAACTGAGAAAATGAAGGGAAAAGGATACTTGAACTCATCGTCACCAAGTTTACCCATCTCTCTAGGTTACATGATTATGGGGCACCAACCAAGTCATGGTCATTCCTTTGGTACAGCGACATTTGCCGAGATTTTGAATGCAAATCATGCTTCATGCAGCTCGCTCACCTCTCAATCAGCTCAGTACCTCAGAATAAATCCACCTAACTAGGACCCAAATCGTGATCCCGAAGCATGACATTGTTTCCATTCGTTCATACAAACTTGTATAGGGGTGCGTACAAGCATACAGGACTCTGCTAATGGTAACACGATGTATGGGGCCTGACACCTGCCCGGTGCTGGAAGGTGAACAGGAGAAGTCCTAACAGCTTTGAATCGAAGCCCCATATGGCACCATGTAGCACCATACAGCACCGCACAGCACCATACAACACCACACTAATCCACACAGCACCAGAGAGCACCATTCAGCACCACACAACACCATACAGCACCACACGGCACCGTACAGCACCATACGGCACTATACAGCGCCGTACAGCACCACACAGCACCGTACAGCACCATACAGCACCGTACAGAACGATTACTGAGCACCAGGGAGCACCATACAGAATCATACGGCGGCACCATACAACACCACACAGCACCGCACAGCATCACCAAGCTTATTCACCGAAATTTCCCAGTACCCACCTCTCCAAGTCGTGATCGTAGAGCACCGAGTCGTCCCCGCTGGTTCGGTAAAGCGGAAGTTGGAGGTCCGCGATCAGCCGAGCCAACGGATTACTCTCGGAAACACCGTGCAGCCTGGGAAATGGAGAAATAACAGGAACAATGAAGGAACAATGAACAATGCATAAGTCAAACTGGGGAGGAGGAGACCTGAACCGAGAGGAAGGAGGAGAAGGGGGGAAAAGGGGACGGGAAAAGGAGGGGCCTGCTTGTTGTGTAATCTTAAAGCTATAGGAATCGCCTTCCAGGCAGAAATATTCAGGAACAAGCGCTTACCAAGCAGCACCTAGATCAAGCGGAAAGCCAAAAGAGTAGTCTGTGAACGCGCGACCTCCGATGCGATTCCTTGCCTCTAGCACCACTACCTGTGATGGGAGGGAGAAAACCAGGGAAGATTTGGGCCCGTACAGCCAGGGTAAACCACCCAAGAGAAAATAATCGAGCCAGTGGATCTGGATGTGCTACAAGGAAGGTCTTGATTCATCAGAAGACATCGCCTGAAAGCTCTGATGCGTAACGACCTTGAAGAAAGTGCAGCATAGCCGTAAAGTTGCAGACAAGCGTCACGAAGCCTTCAGGTTGCAGGACGATCTCACCTCGAACGATGCGTGATGCAGCGCGTGAGCTGCTGCCAGCCCGGAGAACCCGCTACCAATCACGATGGCTGACGGCCGACGAACTCCCTGGCGATTGCGTGTGTTACTGGTAACAGCGGCGCTGTGCGGGGTGCTGTTATCATCGATGGGGACTACTGGAATTAGAGAGCTACACTGCCTCTGATTCGCCATGATCCTGAGAAAGATAGACAACCAGCTCTAGCTATCCTTCGGGAGCCTGGCTTGCTGACACGGTATTTGAGAAAAATATAGCTAGCGCGACGAGAAAAACGGTGCTGCCTTGAGATCTGAGCGAAGGAAAACCTCACAACGAAAAAGGAGTTCTAGCTTACGATTTGGGAGTTCTAGCTTACATTCAAAGCAGGCTGGTTCAGAGATCCCAAGGGCAGGTTCAGAGATTCCAACAGTATTGCTGTGGTGATGGCTTGCGGGTGACTGAAGGCATTCTCGAGGGAATCTGTGAAGTGGAGTTCCCAAGAGGGGATTTCCGGGGGAGCGATGTGGGTTTCCAGTCAGACAGAAAATGTCAGGTGACATCGTCCTAATAAAGTATCGGTTGCAAACGATTTCGTCTGATTCGACACGGTCCTCAGCAAACTGGTCGACTCAGATATCGTCGGCGTGTTTTCATAAAAGTCAGGGATGAACGGCTTCTGTTTGATGATGTGATCCTGAAGTGGAAAGTGACCCATCCCATCAGGCTCTGAGGGTTTCATGCACGCTATTGGCTGACAAAGAACTGACTGACCAATGAAACCTCTTCTGGTCTCATTTGATGCTCCGAATGAAGATGCTACAGACTGCTTCGACTTTCGGTTTGTGAGTTGCTCATACACTTGGCTACTTCCAACGACAATATTTCGCTATAGGAAAGTCTTCAGGCTACCACAACTGGCACTTCGTTTGCGTAACACCCTCTCCCATAGTCCCCGCCTTTGCTCTCTTGTTCCTCCGTTATTGTCACACGTCAGACCGCCATACTAGTCTCACAGCCGCGCAAGTTACGAAACCTTATATTCCGTGCTCCTCATCAGCAGCTAGCGACGTTTTCAGCACCAGTCTCCGGGAAGGTTTCGACATAAGCTGCTTTGCTACTTCCTTTTCCGGCTAACACATAAGTCTCTGGAATGTGATAGGAATTCTATGGCAGGACACCAACCCCAAGGCGCCCTTCCTGATTCACCTCCAACTCCCGCAAGGACTGCCGTCGGCGAAGCAGCAGTAGGTGGAATGGCCGCTCAGTCTGGCGGAGACGGCGGAGCGGGAGGTTTAGGCGGAGGTGGAAGCGGAAGCGGGAGCGGAAGCTTAGGCGGTCGTCCTGTGGGGGATGACTATGTTCTGGAGAAACAGATAGGTTCGGGGTCGTTTTCCGTGGTGTGGAGGGGTAGGAGGCGGTCGACGGGCGACGCGGTGGCGATTAAGGAGATTCCGACGGAGAGATTAAGTGCCAAGCTGCACGAGAGCCTCGAGTCGGAGATTGCGATTCTGAAACGCGCAAGGCATCCCAATATAGTTCACCTATTGGACATAGTTAAGGTGTGTTTGACTATCCGTACGTGTTTAGTACATGTTATGTTTCTCTTAGTGCGTTCAAGACGCGCTACGCATTCCAAGGTCGTTTATCGGGTGAATAGATTTGAGGTAGTTCACCTCCTTCTATTTTTTTCCCCCTTTATCCGTCTTTGTATTCTCTTCCTTTACATGTCCTACCCGTGTTTTGAGGACGGAAAATTGATGTTCTACCCGTCCACACTTTTGTTGTCCCCAGACCTCGTCGCGCATGTTCCTTGTCTTGGAGTATTGTGCTGGCGGGGACCTCTCGCACCACATCAGGCGGGGCGGCGCGGTGAAAGAAGCAGCAGCGAGGCACTTCATGCAGCAGCTGGGAGCGGGGCTGCAGGTGCTGCGAGCCAACAACTTGATTCACAGAGACTTGAAACCACAGGTGGGTAAGATGCGAGTGGGTCTTGAGATGCGTAAGGCCGTAAAGCAGGCAGCATCCCGCCCGGCACTTCATGCGGCAGCTGGGGGCGGGGCTGCAGGTGTTGCGAGCCAACAACCTCATTCACAGGGACCTGAAACCCCAGGTGAGATTATATTGCCGTCGTGCCCCTTTTTCCTATGTCCCCCATCTACAAGGTATCATATTACAACCGTATGGTTTAAGTCTAACCAAAATCGCAGTTCTCTGTCTGCCATCTCACCTTGTCTTACCACATTCTATCCGTGCCGTCTCTGCCCTTGTCGCACCCGGCCTCCCTTGTTCTCAGAACCTCCTGCTCTCTGAGCGCTCGTTTGCTGCAGTGCTCAAGATCGCAGACTTCGGATTCGCCAGGTCAGTTCCCCGTCCACGCAAGAGCATTCTTTAATAACATTTCTCACCAGGCAGGCACCAACACGAAAGTTAACAATCCCTTCCTCCACTGCCTGCCCCCATGCTTATGGCACACTGATGAGCGCAATCGTGTTGGGGCGATTATAGAGCCTCGGCTGTGCTCTTTTTCGCATTGTGGCGCCTTTCCTTGTCCCGACTCCCATGGCAGGTCGCTGCAGCCACAGGGACTGGCGGAGACGCTGTGCGGGTCTCCCCTGTACATGGCGCCAGAGATCCTGCAGTGCCAGCGATACGATGCCAAGGTGGGGGGGGTATGGCAGAGTGTCACAAGCACGTATGGTGAATGGTAGGTAGGTAGGTAGGTATGTAGTAGGTATGGAATCAGTCGCCCCTGTACATGGCGCCAGAGATCCTGAAGTGCCAGCGATACGACGCCAAGGTGTGTGTGATGTGATAGATTGGCAGAGGGAAAACGTGCAAAGCTGAACAATGATGAGCGTACGGGTCCCCCCTGTACATGCGCCAGAGATTCTTTCTTCAATGCCAGCGATACGATGCCAAGGTGATGAGGGTGGCGGGAGGGCGTTTATAAGGTGCCACTGGGACGGGACACGACACACGCATCCACGCTTCTCTTGTGACATAATTCTCAGCGAGCTGCAAACTTAGTCAGGCTTTGAGTCGTGTTTTGAGTCGACTCAAAACAGGGCGTTTATGAGGTGCCACAGGGACGGGACACGACACACGCATCCACGCTTCTCACTCCTTCCGTTTGCACCCCCTCCATCCGTCTCGCCCTCAGCGTGCATGTATGTATGCAATTTTTGAGGCGCCTAAAAAAAAGCGTGCATGTATGTATGCAATTTTTGAGGCGCCTAAAAAAAAGCGTGCATGTATGTATGCAATGCACACGCTCGCAAGGCTGACCTCTCATAGTGGCCTCTGGTGCCATTTACTTGCTACTCACCGCCTTTTCTTCTCCCCTTTGTCCCAACCAACTTCCCTTACCACACCTCCCCGTCTTCCTCCACATGCACCATTGGTTCCCCACATCCGTCCTTCTCTTATTCTCCTTCCTAACTCACTGCCCTCTCTTCCTTACTGCCCCTCTCTCGCCCTTACCAATCCGCCAGGCGGACTTGTGGAGTGTGGGCGCCATTCTGTTTGAGCTTGTCGTTGGACGACCCCCCTTTTGACTCGACTCAATCAGAACCCTATTCTTTACAACATGGCTGTCCTTTCCCCTGCCTCACTGCCCCCTTCTCGCCCTCACTGTTGCCAGGCGGACTTGTGGAGTGTGGGCGCCATTCTGTTTGAGCTCGTTGTGGGCCGACCCCCTTTTGGCGGCCAGAATCACGTCCACGTGAGTAGTTCCCCCGCACTTGTTCAGATGCTCCTTGTTTCTTAGTTTTTCATATATATAAAAGGAATCCAAACTACTCAGATGCACCATCGCTTAGCTGGTTGGTTCCGGCACTTGTGCTGCTCTTGGTGCTCCTCATACATATGGGATGTGGCTTGTGATTCGAGTCGTCTACTCTCCCTCCCTTGCACCCCTGCTCGTCACCACCACATCACAGCTCCTGCAGAACATCAAGAGAAGCGAGGCAAGGGTACCCCGCGACATTGCCGCCACTCTCTCGGACGACTGTCTCGGGCTCATCCGATCTCTTCTCAAGCGGAACCCCGGTGAGTGAACCACCTTCGTTTTTGAACCACGTCGTGTTGCAAGTGGACTGCAGGCAAGAGTCAGCCGTTAGGCGAGGCGAGGGTACCGCGTGACAATGCCCCAACCAACTCTATCTGACGACTGTCTTGGGCTAATTCGCTCCCTGCTCAAGCGGAACCCTGTTGAATATATACATGATGAAATCTAAAGCGCCTGAAAATGCCGTCAATGCTTTTGCCTTAGAAGTAGCAATTTCGTTTTTCTGTGTGTGAAGTTCCTGTGTTGTAAAAGTTTCTGTTTATGTGGATAACTAAAAAAATATCTTTCTTGGTACTGTGAAATCTTGTCCTTCCTGCCGTTGCTCTTTGCTGCGCAGTGGAGCGGCTGTCGTTCGAACAGTTCTTCAACCATCCCTTCCTTGGCTTAGCAAGGTAAGCGAGTGGTGAAGGGGGGAAAGGGGGAAGTTAGCGGGAAGGGAGGGGGGCGAAGAGGGGGCGAGGGAGGGGTGTGGGGGGTTGTGTTGTTTGAATCTTCTTGAGTCACGAGGACTTGTCCCTCCCACGTGCTGCTGCTGCTGGGCCATGTCGCTTTTTCTTAGCAATCCTCTCCCCGTCCTTACTGCTTGTGAATCCTTCGTCCCCCCCTCCTCCCGTCCTCCTCCCCACCCCCTTCCACTCGCATGCTCACACATCAGTTCCCCGCAGTCTATCTGGCAACCACCAGCCTCTTTCACCAACTCAGCTACTCACGCCGAACCTCCGCCACTCCGTAACGAACCTCCACCGTTCCCTGCCGAGCCTCCATCATCTTCCGCCGAACCTCCGCCTCCGTCACAGAGTTCCAAACCTCCTCCAGCTATTTCTGCGTCTCCTGGCGCAGCGGGGGTTGCGCCTGCTGCCCCAACCTCCCCCTCCCTTACTCCCCTACCTCATACCCCCGCGCCTCCCCCGTCCCTTACTACCCCTGCCCCTGTTCCCCCGTTTCCCCCTCCCCTTACCCCCCCTGCCCTGCCTGCCCCCCGCGCTTCCCCTTCGTCCGCCCCGCCTTCGTCCCCATATCGCTCCGCTTCCCCACACCTTCCCCCGGGCCCCTCGCTTCCTGCTGCTTCTAACCCTGTTTCAGCTGCCACTGTAAATAATGCTGTGTGTGGTGCTGTTAGGGGGGATTCTTATAAGGAGGATAGTGATCCCTGGGGTGTGGTTGCTGTGGGTGGTGGTAGTGGAGGGGGTGGAGGGACAGGGAGTGGGGGAGAGGATGGAGGGAGTGGGATAGGGGGCGGGGGTGAAAAGAGGGCAGCGGGTGAGAGAGATGGTGTTTCTGCCACTGCAGCAGAAGAAACAGCAGCAAGTGCAGCAGCAGCAGCAGCAGCAGCAGTAGCGGCGGCGTCAGCAGTAGCGGCAGCGGGAGAAGCAGCAGCGTCAGGAAGTGCAGCAGCAGTGGCGGCTGCACCTGCTTTCCCTCCGCCTGCACTTGTCGCATCTCCTGCCCGGGCTGCTCTTTTGCCTGCGCGTACGGTCACTGCGTATGAGGTCCGACCTTCGCCCAGCCAGCATACCCAGTTGCAGCAGCAACTACAGGGGCAGCAGCAGCAGCAGCCGCAGCGTCATCAGCACCATCAGAGACAATCAGTCTTCGTTTCAGCAGCAGCAGGTGCGGCAGCAACAGCAGGAGTGGCAGCAGAAGCAGCAGCGCCGCCTCCAACACCACCAGCGGCTGTACTACCACCAACAGCAGAGACAACTCCACTGCGAGCCAAACTGGCCGTGGTTGGACCATCACTGGCAGCAACCGTACCACTCTCAGTGGCAGTGGCGCCATCGGCAGCACCAACGTTGGTGCCTGCACCGCTGCCCCCAGCAGGAGATGAAAGAGGTGCGTGCGGCACTGCCCCCAGGTGCGCTGTTCCCCTCTCTTGTCGAGCCACACTGGTTGGACCATCACTGGCAGCAACCGTACCACTCTCGGTGGCAGTGGCAGTGGCGCCATCGGCAGCACCACCGTTGGTGCCTGCACCGCTGCCCCCTCCAGGAGATGAAAGAGGTGCGTGCGGCACTGCCCCCAGGTGCGCTGTTCCCCTCTCTTGTCGAGCCACACTGGTTGGACCATCACTGGCAGCAAACGTACCATTCCCAGTGGCAGTGACGCCATCGGCAGCACCAACATTGATGCCCGTAACGCTGCCCCCACCAGGAGATCAAAGAGGTGCGTTTTCCCAGGAGACACAGACTCGTTTGAGATGCTTGAAGAAGACTACGTCACCGTGGACCCTTCTCGGAAAGTATCATGATGCCATATGTGTTTTCTCCTCCCCACTTGCCTCTCTCTCCCTGCTCCCGTCCCATCCCAGGTGGCACAGACTCATTCGAGATGCTGGAAGGGGACTATGTGGTTGTGGACCATCCGTCTGAACCCTCTCTGTCCCCTTACTCCGAACCCTCTCTGTCCGGTGACTGAAAGCAGCACCTCTTACTCACCCATTCCTTGCCTTTTCCCCATCCCTCTCGCGTTTCCCCAGGCGGCACACACTTATTCGAGATGCTGGAAGGGGACTACGTGGTTGTGGACCATCCATCCGAACCCTCGCTGTACTTTCACTTGAAGTGAAACGACGCCATATTTGTTTTGTCCTCTTCACTTGCCTCTTTTTCTTCCCCCAGGCGGCACAGACTCGTTCGAGATGCTGGAGGGGGACTATGTCGTCGTGAACCATCCATCCATCCGAACCTTTTGCGGTTGGTGACTTAAGTGCACATCTCTCTGTCCCCCTCTTGCATCTGCTTCTTCCCCATCCCTCTCCCTGCCCCCAGGCGGCACAGACTCGTTCGAGATGCTGGAGGGGGACTATGTCGTCGTGGACCATCCATCCGAACCCTCTCTGTCCGCCGACCAATCCGCGTCTGCCAACCCATCTCTCGGCCAGTCGAGCCGACATCAACAGATGAAACCACCGGGGTCTGCCTCTACGTTCCCTGCTGCTGCAGCAGCTGCGAACGTTGAGGCGCCTCAAAACCCATCTCTCAGCCACTCGAGCCGACATCAACAGATGAAACCACCGGGGTCTGCTTCCACGTTCCCTGCTGCGGCTGCAGCAGCGCTGTCAGCTGTTGTAGGGGCAGTTGGGGCTGCAGCGGCCGCTGCTGCCGCTACAGCTGGTTCCTCGGCCCACCCGGCTGCTTCAGCCCGGGCTCCCACAGCCGGTGCTACAGCTTCTGCTACAGCTGCTGCTACAATTGCTGCTGCTACAGCTGCTGCTTCTACTGCTTCTGCTGCTACAGCCATTGCTACAGCCTCTGGTACTGGTGGCAGCCCCTTGATCCCACCTGTAGAGTCTCCCCCCTTATTTCCCCTGCCTCCCCACCACCACAATACTGCTGCAGCTCTTGTAAATAATCATGCACGTGTACAGTCACTCTCAGTAGAGTCACACCATGTACAGCCACATTCTTTACAGTCACCATCTGTACAGCCATGTCCGTTACAGCCACCTTCTGTTCAACCGCATTCGTTACAGTCACCATCTGTACAGTCACAAATGGTATCAGCTGCGCCGGTACCTCTGGTGCAAGTGAGTGGTTTTTGTCCCAAGGTTCCCACACGAGGGTTTGCCAAGGCAGCAGAAGCACCACGAGCAATTGAAGCTACTGCAATCCAAACCAGCGCAAATGCTGCTGCCGCCGCTGCTCCTTCACCACTCCCCACCTCACCGTGCCCCACTGCACCACTCCCCACTGCAGCAGCACCATCCCACGCTCGCTCCGGCTTGGCTCTGGCTGTGAGCCTTGGCACGCCTCGCACATCCTCCCTCTCCACCACCCCTCCTCCTGTCAGCCTCTGCCGCCCAGCGCCCCCCAGCCTAGCCAGTGATGCGCCACTTAATTGCCCCATGCGGTTAATTTCCCCTGTGCCAACACATGTAGTTCCTGGTAGCGCTGCTGCTGCCCCTGTGGGCTCAGATGGGTCAGGAGCGCTGCTGCCCCTGCCTGCTCATGTGGTTCTCATAGCGATGGAAGGCAACGCTGTGTTGGGTGGGAACTTGAACAAAGGAGGAACGTTGCAACGTGAAGTACAGGAGAAACCGCAGCAGCAGGAGCAGGAGCAGAAGCAGGAAGAGGTGTTTCAGCAACAGCATCCCCAGGAGCGGATCACCTTTTTGAGGCAAAGCGGGCGTTACATTGCAGAGATTGCTGCTAGTAAGGTGAGTGCTGCTACTACATTAAAGCAAGCAGTTTGTTTTTTTTGTTTTTGTTTTTTTTTTTTCCCCTCCTGTCGACTCAAAAGTTGACGCATGTCTGCTTGTTGGGGGAAGAGAGGCATTCACTCCCTCCCACGAGTGTGCCTCTCAAACGAAGGAAACGGATAGAAAGCTGCAAGCTCAGCTCGACCGACCTAACTAATCCCACGAGTGTGCCTCTCTTCCTTTTGATATATCCGCTTTCCTCTGCTCGTCTTCCCATCCTTCCCTCGTCTCAGCTGGAAGCAGCAGCGCCGCCCGCCTCGCTCTCCCTCCACCTGGTTGCTCTCGCAGTGTGGAAAGAGGCACTCACGCTCTCCCACAAGTGTGCCTTTCCTCCTCTGATATCTCCACGTTCCCCTTCCCTTATTGTCTCCATGTCCTCTGTCTTGTATCTCCACCTATCCCCCACCGCAGTTGGAAGCAGCAGCACCGCTCGCCTCGCTCTCCCTCCACCTGGTCGCTCTCGCTGTGTGGAAAGAGGCTCTCACGCTCTCCCACGAATGGGCTGCCACTAGTGCCACCAGTGCTAATAGCGCCCCCAGTGATACTTACTACGGTGGTGCTCATAGTGGTGATGCTTATAACGGAGGTGCTTATAGCGGTTCTGGTGGAATGATTCCGGTGCGCAGGAGCAGCAGCGTGGGGGGGCATGGGGGCGGCATGGGGGGGCATGGGGGCAGCGTGGGGGGGCATGGGGGCAGCGTGGGGGGGCATGGGGGCAGCGTGGGGGGGCATGGGGGCAGCGTGGGGGGGCATGGGGGCAGCGTGGGGGGACATCAGGGCAGCATGGGGGTCCATGGGGGCGGGGAGGAGGCAGCAGCAGCGATGGCATGCGATTTGGTAGAAGCTGAGTTCCTGGCAGCTGTGGAGACGGCAGAGGTGGTTGCTGCTGCTGTTGACAGGGACGGTGAGTGCGGTATGGGTGGGTCGCTGGGGATGATGAGGTGTGTGGTGTGGGTAGGTAGGAGGCAGCAGCAGCGATGGCATGCGACTTGATGGAAGCAGAGTTTCTTGCAGCTGTGGAGACGGCAGAGGTGGTTGCTGCTGCTGTTGACAGGGACGGTGAGTGCGGTACGCGTGGGTGCATGAAATTGACAAGGTGTATTGTAGGTAAGAAGAGGGAGGCAGCAGTAGCAATGGCGTGTGACTTGGTGGAGGCAGAGTTTCTTGCAGCTGTGGAAACAGCAGAGACAGTTGCTGCTGCTGTTGATAGGGACGGTGAGTGCAGCACAGATGGGTGGATCTGCTTTTTCTGCTGTCCTCTCATCGCTTCATCCCCTCATCCTTTTTTCAACCACCATTCCCTCCTCCCTCCCCCCTTAACAAACCCATCGCCAGTTTCTCATGCTCTTGATATCATCTTGCCACTCTCCTCTCCTCCTCTCATCGCTGCAACCCCTCATCCCCTTTTCAGCAACCATCCCCTCCCTCTTCCCCCCACCACAGACCCATCCCGTAACTGATGCTCTGGAAATCATCTATCAAACAGCCACTCCTCTCGCTCCCCTCCCCTTCCTCCCAACCCTTCCCCCCAACACAGACCCATCGCCTGTGCCTGATGCTCTGGAGATCATCCATCAAACTGCCCTCATTGCAGGCCGCTCTGCAGCTGTGAGTACCGCTTTCCTCTTTTCCATCCTGCTCTGTCATCTGCTGAGAAATCTCATTTATTGAGAAACTTCACTGAGAAAATTCGGTTTTGAGAGTTTTTTTTTTTTTTTTTTTTTTTTTTTTTTTTTTTTTTTTTTTTTTTTTCTCAATTTTGAGAAATCTCAAACGATTACTGGTTTTTTTTAGGCGCCTCAGAACTCGATTGCTGTGAGTCAACTCAAAACTCTCCCCTGTCTCTCTCTCCCCCGTTCTTCCCCACTTAATCCACTTCTTTTCCCCTTCCTGAAGTGGAGGAGCTGATGAGCAACATGGCATGCGCATCAGCAGCAAACCTGCACACATGCCAACCCTTTCATTCCGCTTGCCCCCCGTTTGCTTTGTCTCCATCTCTCCCCTCTCAGGTGGAGGCATCTGCAGCAGCAGCCTACGCTCGCTCTACTCAATGCTCTCCCCCCTCTCTCCCCCACTCTCCTTCCCTGCTTTATCACCATCCTTCACTCTCAGGTGGAGGAGTTGATGGGAAACATGGCATCAGCAGCAGCAGCCTATGCGCGCTCAGCCACGCTCTTCGCCTTCCTCCTGCACCTCGCCCCTCACCTCCCCATCTCCCCTCCCCTCGTGCTCTCCCCTGCCGACTGCCACCGCCTCACCAAGTACCACGACGGGGTGTTAGCCCGCCAGAAGCACTGCAGTGCTGCGCTGCACTGCTGACTGCGAGCGCCCGTTACTGCAAACACTGCACCGCTCTCCTCATCTCCTTCCTCTGCCTCTCCCCTGCCAGTCGCCACCGGCTCACCAAGTACCATGACGGGGTGCTAGCCCGCCAGAAGCACTGCAGTGCTGCGCTGTGCTGCTGACTTGAACAGGCTAGCCCCTCTTGCTACAAGCACCGCACTGCTGTGTTGTTCTCCCCTCCCGTACGGACCCCCACTGCCTCACCAAGTATCACGACTGTGTGCTGGCCCGCCACAAGCACTCCAGTGCTGCACTGCACTGCTGACCCCCCTACTCCCCCCTCCCCCGCCCCTCCCCTTACCGCAAGCACTGCACTGCTGTCCTCTTCTCCCTCCTGCACCTCGCCCCTCACCTGTCCGTCTTCACCACTTCCCCTGAGAGGGAAGGCACCTGAACTGAGTTGGATTGTAACAGGATGACTAATTCCTTATGACAGACAGACTTGTCATGTCCTGTCATGTGACATAAGAAACTGCACCATCTAAATTGAAACTACCGTTTACAAAGTTCCGCTGGTGCGATGAAAATCACTTCACTATTGAAAGTAAGCAAACATCATGTTACACTAAGCATTACAATTGGAATACTGTAGTAATTTCATGGTTGCAATACTTGCATCTGCTACTAGAGCTCATTGTCTGGCTGCAATTAGCAGCACATGTTTGCAGATGAAGCAAACAATTCATGAATCCTCCTTTGCAATCCAGTCCAGTCCAGAGTTCCTACATTCATCCTCACACTTAGCTAAGTTCCACCAGTAGCCGGCGCTGCTCCAACAGACCCCTGATCAGCAGTTGCAGATTGAGCACGGAGTAGTGCTTCCTGGATCCTTCCTTTCCACACCAACCCCACGTCCGAATTCAATTTCTTTTCCGGCGTGTGCAGAAGATACTCGTCAATGCCGCCCACCTTGTCTATGCAGCGGAGGGCGTACGTGGTAACGCGGAACTGGATGAATTTGTCGAGGGCGAAGCTGTAGAGGCGCTTGTACTGCACGTTGGGTTTCCACATGCGCCGCGTTCTGTGCGGTGCGGAAGGGGACGGGGGGGAAGGGGTGGGACGGGACACAAAAAAGGAAGAGGGGAGTGTAAGTGGAAGATTCTCGTCAATGCCGCCCACCTTGTCTATGCAGCGGAGGGCGTACGTGGTAACGCGGAACTGGATGAATCTGTCGAGGGCGAAGCTGTAGAGGCGCTTGTGCTGCACGTTGGGTTTCCACATGCGCCGTGTTCTGTGTGGTGCGGAAGGGGAGAGGTTGGGGAGGGAAGGGGAAGGGTGGAGCAGTGGAAGCAGAGGGAGGGAAATGGCATGGCAGCACAACATGGAACTGGATGAATTTGTCAAGGGCGAAGCTGTGGAGGCGCTTGTACTGCACATTGGGTTTCCACATGCGCCGTGTTCTACCCATTGTTTGGTGGGGAGGGCGAGAGGGAAGACGGAGGGGGGATGAGTGTGTAAACGATGTGCCAGCAGAGTATAGCACAGCGTAGCACGGAACTAAATGGATTAACCCAGGGCAAATGTGTAGAGGCGCTTGTACTGTTGGTGGGTTTCCACATGCGCGGTGATTTGGTGGGAGGGGGGAGGAGGGAGGGAGAGGTGAGGGGCGGAGAGAATGGAGGTGGAAGCCCAACGTGCATGCCCATAACAGAACCGAGGGAATCCTTGACGTTTGAATCTGTAGAGACGTTTTCGAATCATGTTGAGTTCCTACATGCTCTGGTAGGGGCATGGATGGGGAGGAGAAGGGGGGGAGTGCGTGGGTGTGCGAAGGGGGGGGTTGGTGCAGGAAAAAAGCAGCGAGGTGAGATTGTAAAAAGAGGTAACAGCACATCACCGAACTAAGTGAACTCACAAAGAGTAGGCTGCACATTCTGCATGGTTTGGGTTGAGGAGAGAGGGTGGGGAGGGGGCCGGGGGAAGAGATGGTCAGGAAGAAGGGTATAATGACAAAGTGACCTCCCTTGCCGCCGAACAGCCCTCGGGTTGAGTCAGTTCAGTTCCCAAACATGAAGGGGAAGAAAGCGCATCTGGAGCAAGAAACAGTTGACTCACTTATTCCCGCCGTCCTCGCTGACTTGGTTGCCTAACTCCTTGCCAGCCCTCGCCGAGATCATGATAGATAGCTGAGAATTCTCAATAGCAAGCTGGTTTCGTCTGACTCACTTATTCCCGCCGTCCTCGCTGACTTTGTTGCCGAATTTGACCTCCTTGCCGGCGAACAGCCCTCGCTTTGGGTCAGTTCAGTTCCAAACACATAATGTGAAGAAAGCGCAACGCATCTGGAGCGAGAAACCGGTTACTTACTTATTCCCGCCGTCCTCGCTGACTTTGTTGCCAAATTTGACTTCCTTGCCGGCGAACAGCCCTCGCCGCGCGCGTCGCATCACGGCGCGGCCCACTAGCTCCAACCCTAACGGCATTGCTTCCGTGCCGAGCCAAGCGCGCAGCAGCGTGAAGAGAGAGTATGTGTACAGACGCTCCCTTGGCTAAGGAAAACACGAAGGGTTGATTAGCTGCGGAACGCACGCAGGTTCGGTATCGAAGCAGGTGCTTCAATAGGAAAGGAAGCTGGATTATGCGCGCCAATGCAGATGACCTACGGCGGAAGTTTAAGTTGTTGATAGCGCGCGTGCGGCATCTGACAACACGCCGCGGAATCAGCTATTAGCACCGCCTAGATGAATTAGGACGAGGCAGTACGATCCTTGCTGATACTCATTGAGGATAGTACTTTTGGTTGCCTGATAATATTTAAAGGAGCTGGATATGGCGCTGTACAGACACCTTCATGCAAAGTCGGATGCCGTAGTAGCGAAGATTTAGTGTGTTTTGTGAAGAAATGATTCGTTTTGCCGTGAGTCGGCGACATACAGGATGGGAAGAAGCAAAGCTCCTGTTGGTCAGAATTGCAGCGATATTCGATCAGCAATCTAGAAGTTTGATTCCAGACCAGAGCTTGCGCCACTAGCGAAGCGAGCCCCTACAGTAGTCTCCGAGGAGAAGTTTTTTCCTGACCCGATAGAAGTGTACCGTCGGTGTCGGTTTGCAGCTGGGAATACACTTCTGTTCCTTAGAAATTCACGACTGAATTGCTTTGTGCTGTGCCACCATCAGCTAAAAGAGGCTAACTTAGAAAATATCTCAGATTTCTTTGCCAACACGACACGGCATGAATTTTTTACGTGTTGTGCCCCTCTGGCTCGTGGTGCCCCCATTGGTTAGCGGGAGATTGTCAACGGTCAATCAATCCATTTCCCATCCCATCCCATTCCTCCCGCCCTCAACTTTCACACAGCCATCACGGGCTGTGCTAACCAAAGGATTCACTTTACTACGGTTCTGTAAGTTGAATAGCATCTATAACATTACTTCAAACGGTTGAATAGGGTTTGACGGAAAATCAACCGGAACGGCACCCCCTTATCTCTTGGCTTGATTGAGCCTACCCATCCCATCCATGGCAAGGAGGGACACAAACCCGGCTAAGCACAGCACCACCAACCTTGGCCTGCAAAGAGCCTTTCCCCTTGGTTCTTTTTGTGAAAAGCTGGCACTTCACTCTTGGAAGCTCTGTTTCATAAGCGTCGCAGTCTCCCTTCCTGGGTCTCGGGTCGCTCCCTCCCAAGGTCCTCTGGGAACTGCTACGCACCATTGCCACATAGCAATCAAATGTGAGAAGCATTCAACCCTCCATTTTCGAACAATTTGACATAGAAGAACCAAGCCGTTGCCCTTTGTACGAAGTTCTGGTGCGTGGTTCTCAAGTCGTTTATTTTTGGCATGAAGCAATGTGCGGGTGGCAGCCGGAATTTCAGCGAAACCAATTTACATTTTTTTTTCAGCCTATAACATCGTGGCTACACCTAGTTTAGAGAGGTCAATGCGAGTTAATTGCATCACATTGCGTTTCTCGTAGCTGATCAGCTTCTCTCGTGATTTATTTTTTAACGTCTCACTATCTCGTCGGCCACCGTAGCGCAATGTTTCCTTAGTTCGCGTCAGGAAACTCAAATTGTACAACCCATCCGAGGTTTGTTGTTATCGCTCAGCCAATGTTGCCCATCGAGAGTGCTAGCTTCAATCAATTCACCCCCATCGCATTTCCCTCCCTCTCTCCTACGCCAGGTGCATTCTCTCTAACATTTAATAACATCTTCGTTTCCATCATCTATCCCACCCAACTCCCTCCCTCAGCCTTTCCCGTCCGAACGTGATCCGGACTTCAACGCGTGACAGGAGCGTCACAAAAAGACACATTTCTTATATTGATTGAAAAAAAAAGGGTCACAATGTTTCTCCGCAAGAAGAGCTCGCTGACGTCCAACATCCTGGGCCGGCCGCCGGCTGACATCCGCGACAAGTTTCTGATGGGGAAGGAGCTGGGCAAGGGGCAGTTCGGCGTGACTTACCTGTGCACGGACAAGGTCACGGGCGAGCAGCTCGCGTGCAAGTCGCTCGCCAAGCGACGGATTGGGTCCAAAGAAGAGGTTGAGGATATCAGGTGGGTGCAATGTGCGCGTCAGATGTAGGACATTGAACGGCTGCGATTGCGTGAAGGGCTTTGGACGCTCAGAGCTTTTAAGTACAAGGCGAAGAAAGATGCATGGCATTGCATGTGGGGCATGGCATTGCATTTGTGAAGCATTGCATCTTCCATCATGCATCTCCTTGCGCTTCCTGTGTTCTCTCAGGAAGGAGATCGCCATCATGCATCATCTGGCACCCGCACATCGTGCAGCTGAGGGGCGCCTTCCCCTTTTTTTCCCTCCCCTTTGCCTCCATTCCTCCCTGTTGCTTGCCGTCCCTATCCCCCCTGTTTCTCTGTCACATCCCAGGAAGGAGATCGCCATCATGCATCACCTGGGCGGCCACGCCCACATCGTGCAGCTGAGGGGCGCCTTCGAGGACAAGCACAACATGCACATCGTCATGGAGCTCTGCGCTGCGGTGCGGGCACGCAACTCCACTTCAGACACACACAAAGGGCCACACCCATACCCATCTCGTCGCCTTCTCTCCTCCCCTTCCTACCAGCGGTCCGCCAGGCCTAAAGTAACAGCGGTGTACCCGTCCTGTGCCCTCCGTTCCGCTCTGTGCCCGCCCTGTGTCCTCCCAGGAAGGAGATCGCCATCATGCACCACCTCGGCGGCCACCCACACATTGTGCAGCTGAGGGGCGCCTTCGAGGACAAGCACAACGTTCCTCACAGAAGCCCCTGTTGCCTATCCTCCTCCCTGTTTCTCCCTGATTCCTCCCAGGAAGGAGATCGCCATCATGCACCATCTGGGCGGCCACCCGCACATCGTGCAGCTGCGAGGCGCCTTCGAGGACAAGCACAACGTGCACATCGTCATGGAGCTCTGCGCGGGCGGCGAACTCTTCGACCGCATCGCCGCCCGGGGCCACTACAGCGAGCGGGCGGCATCATCCCTCTTCAAGACCATGATGGGGGTGGTCGACCACTGCCACCAGAACAACGTGATTCACCGGGACTTAAAGCCCGAGAATTTTCTTCTCGCGGATCGGAGGGAGGATGCGCCGCTGAAGGTGGCGGATTTCGGGCTGTCGTCGTTTTACAAGGAGGGGGAGGTGTTTACTGAGACGGTGGGGAGTGCGTTCTATGTGGCGCCCGAGGTGCTCAAGGGGAAGTATGAGAAGGCGTGTGACGTGTGGAGCTGCGGAGTCATTCTCTACATCCTGCTCAGTGGCACCCCGCCCTTCTGGGGAGGTGAGCTGGGTTCCTGAGAGGCGCCCGGCCCTGGGCCCCGTGTTATGTGATCTTGTATGTACATGCATCCCCAGTGAGGGGTACGTGCAGAAACGACAAAAGAGTGGGTTTTGATTGAGAGGTTTCAAGGAGGGGTAGCTGACAAGGAGGGGGAGGTGTTTACTGAGACGGTGGGGAGTGCGTTCTATGTGGCGCCCGAGGTGCTCAAGGGGAAGTATGAGAAGGCGTGTGACGTGTGGAGCTGCGGAGTCATTCTCTACATCCTGCTCAGCGGCACCCCGCCCTTCTGGGGAGGTGAGCTAAATGTCCGAGAGGCATTCATTTTGAGAGCCCCTTATTCCTGTGTACAGTGTATGTACGGATTGCTCGCTCTGTCCCCCTCCCCTCATTCTCAGTCCCCCGTTCTCCTCCCCTCCGTCTCCCCCTTCTTTCCTCACCAGACACGGAGAAGCAGATCTTCCACCCCAGCCTTTGCAGCGGACCCCTTATCTCCCTGTGCTCACTGCTCTCTCTCTCCTCCCCACCCACCGTACCGTACCCCATGCCAATCCCATTCCCTTCCCCCCCATCAGACACGGAGAAGCAGATCTTCCACCAGGTGCTCAAGGCCACCCCCGACTTTGCAGCAGACCCCTGGCCACAGGTGTCGGACTCGGCCAAGGACCTCGTCAAGCGCATGCTTTTGAGTCGCCTCAAAAGTCAACCCAGACTTTGCAGTGGACCCCTCGTTCCCCCGTGCTGACAGCTGTACTCCCCTCCTCTTTCCCCCCACCCCACCAGACACGGAGAAGCAGATCTTCCATCAGGTGCTCAAGGCCACCCCCGACTTTGCAGCGGACCCCTGGCCACAGGTGTCGGACTCGGCCAAGGACCTCGTCAAGCGCATGCTTTTGAGTCGCCTCAAAAGTCAACCCAGACTTTGCAGCGGACCCCTCGTTCCCCCGTGCTGACAGCTGTACTCCCCTCCTCTTTCCCCCCACCCCACCAGACACGGAGAAGCAGATCTTCCATCAGGTGCTCAAGGCCACCCCCGACTTTGCAGCGGACCCCTGGCCACAGGTGTCGGACTCGGCCAAGGACCTCGTCAAGCGCATGCTTTTGAGTCGCCTCAAAAGTCAACCCAGACTTTGCAGCGGACCCCTCGTTCCCCCGTGCTGACAGCTGTACTCCCCTCCTCTTCCCCCCCACCCCACCAGACACGGAGAAGCAGATCTTCCATCAGGTGCTCAAGGCGACCCCGGACTTTGCAGCGGACCCCTGGCCACAGGTGTCGGACTCGGCCAAGGACCTCGTCAAGCGCATGCTTTTGAGTCGCCTCAAAAGTCAACCCAGACTTTGCAGCGGACCCCTCGTTCCCCCGTGCTGACAGCTGTACTCCCCTCCTCTTTCCCCCCACCCCACCAGACACGGAGAAGCAGATCTTCCATCAGGTGCTCAAGGCGACCCTGGACTTTGCAGCGGACCCCTGGCCACAGGTGTCAGACTCGGCCAAGGACCTCGTCAAGCGCATGCTGCACCCCGACCCCTCCCTTCGCATCTCCTCTGCTGACGTGCTCCGTGAGTAAAGAAGATTGGCCTCTGGCCGCAGGTGGCTAAGGCAGGGAAGGGATAGTTTGACCCCTGGCCGCAGGTGTCCGACTCGGCCAAGGACCTGGTCAAGCGCATGCTGCACCCCGACCCCTCCCTGCGCATCTCTTTCGCTGATGTTCTCAGTGAGTGAAGAAGTATGTGTGGTTTAGGGGAAGGGAGGCTTGGGCTCAGCTCGAATGGTAGGGTTGCAGCAGACCCCTGGCCACAGGTGTCAGACTCCGCCAAGGACCTGGTCAAGCGCATGCTGCACCCCGACCCCTCCCTTCGCATCTCCTCTGCTGACGTGCTCCGTGAGTAGCTGAAGGCAGCTTGGGTTGCGATTGTAGGGCTCTTGACTGGGTGGTGAGGGACCTCGTCAAGCGCATGCTGCACCCCGACCCCGCCATGCGCATCTCTTCTGCGGATGTGCTCCGTGAGTGAAGCAGCACGTGCATATGTGGTCAAGGGAAGGGAGGGTTAGGTGAGGATGGTAGGGCTGCAGCGGACCCCTGGCCACAGGTGTCCGACTCAGCCAAGGACCTAGTGAAGCGCATGCTGCTCTCCGACCCTGCTGTGAGCATCTCCTCTGCTGACGTGCTCCGTGAGTGGAGGAAAGGGAAGGGAAGGTTGGCATGTGGCTGAAGGAAGGGAGGCTTGGGCTGGGCTGGGATGGTAGGGCTGCAGCGGACCCCTGGCCACAGGTGTCGGACTCGTGAAGCGCATGCTGCACCCCGACCCTGCCCTGTGCATCTCCTCTGCTGACATGCTTCGTGAGTGGATGAGCTTTTGGTGCCAGAAGGTTGGTATGTTCTGTGATGTACGGTATGGGCCTTGGCCTCTTTGGCCTTGATGAGAAGGAAGGAGGTGAGGGACCTCGTGAAGCGCATGCTGCACCCCGACCATGAGAAGCAGTCCGACCGGCTGCTGGGAGTCGTAGTCACTCTCCTCGTCATCTCCAACTATAAGTGCCGCTCCGGCCAGAGCTGACTTGGCTGGCTTTCCCAGTGCCTCATAGGTCAGCCTATTTGGGGCTTGGGTTCTCCTCTTGCCCCTTCCTTCTTCCTCAGCTGCAGCGAATAAAAAAAGCTTCTATTCTGAGTGGACTCAAAAGTTCCTCTCTACTTTCTCCCCTCCCCCCTCCCCCCCTTTCCCTCCTCCTCCTCCTCCTCCTCCTCCTCCTCCTCCTCCTCCTCCTCCTCCTCCTCCTCCTCCTCCTCCTCCTCCTCCTCCTCCTCCTCCTCCTCCTCCTCCTCCTCTCACCTGTCAGGCCACCCGTGGCTGTCTCACGAGAAGCAGTCTGACAAGCCGCTGGGAGAGGCGGTGCTGAAGCGAATCAAGAACTTCTCTGCTGCGAACAAGATGAAGAAGCTGGCGCTCAAGGTGAGAGAGAGAGTTGGGCAAGTATGAGTTCAGCAGTGCTGCTGACTGTCTTACAGGGGACCTGAGGCCAGCCGCTGGGAGAGGCGGTGCTGAAGCGAATCAAGAACTTCTCTGCCGCCAACAAGATGAAGAAGCTGGCGCTCAAGGTGAGAGAGCTGAGATTCTTTCAGTCTTAAGAGGATCTAGTAACTAGCTGCTGGGAGCTGAAGCGAATCAAAAACTTCTCTGCTGCCAACAAGATGAAGAAGCTGGCACTCAAGAGAGAAGTGCGAGTATGAGGGTTGACTGGCAGGGGACCTGTGGCAAGCTGCTGGGAGAGGCGGTGCTGAGCGAATAACATTTTTTGGGGACGCTCCATTTCTTACCTTCGCTGCTTCTTCCCTCCTTATTCCCTCTGAACCCCTCCTTCCCCTCTTCCCCCTCCTGCCCCCGCTCTCCCCTTCTCGCCCCCCCATCCCCCCTCCTCTCTCCTTGCCCCTTTCCCCCTTCGTCCCTTCCAGGTGATCGCATGCAACCTGAGTCGCGAGGAGATCCTGGGGCTGAAGAAGCTGTTCAAGGGGATGGACAAGGACGGCTCCTTTCGTCCTCTGACTACCCCCCTTCTCGCCCCCCCACCCCCCTCCTCTCCCCTTGCCCCCTTCACCGTTTCTCCAATCCAGCTCATTGCATGCAACCTGAGCCGGGAGGAGATCCTGGGGCTGAAGAAGCTGTTCAAGGGGATGGACAAGGACGGCTCCCTTCCTCCTCTCACTTTGCCTCTTCTCGCCCCCTTCTCCTTTCCCCTCACCCTCTCCCACCCGTTTCTCCCTTCAGGTCATTGCGTGCAACCTGAGCCGCGAGGAGATCCTGGGGCTGAAGAAGCTGTTCAAGGGAATGAGATGGACAAGGACGGCTCCCTTCCTTCTCTGACTTCTCCCCCTTTTTCCCCTCTCGGCTCTCCCCCCTCCCCGCTCCCCGCTCCTTTTCCGTCCAGGTGATAGCATGCAACCTGAGCCGGGAGGAGATCCTGGGGCTGAAGAAGCTGTTCAAGGGGATGGACAAGGACAAGAGCGGCAGCAACACTCGCTTTACCTGGCCTACGCTGCTCCTCCCGTCCCTTTCTCCTCTGAACCCCTCGCTCCCTCTCCCCATCCCATCCAGGTCATCGCGTGCAACCTGAGCCGGGAGGAGATCCTGGGGCTGAAGAAGCTGTTCAAGGGGATGGACAAGGACAACAGCGGCAGCATCACGTTTTCTGAGCTCAAGACCGGCATGCAGAAGCTGGGGAATCCCATGTCGGAGGAGCAGCTGCAGCAGATCATGGAAGCGGTAAGAGGAGGAGACGATGGGGTTGGGAACGGTTGAATTGGGTGTTGCTGGGTTGAGGTTGTGTAAGTGCACAAGGGGCAGCAAGACCGGCATGCAGGAGCTGGGTAACCCCATGTCGGAGGAGCAGCTGCAGCAGATCATGGAAGCGGTAAGGGGGGGGGATGGGAAGCCGTGGCACAAGGATAGGGGAGTATGTGGTAGGGATGTGTGAGTCTGGTCTGCAAGGGGCTGTAAGAAAGGGCATGCAGAAGCTGGGAAACCCCATGTCGGAGGAGCAGCTCCAGCAGATCATGGAGGCGGTAAGGGGGAATGAGGATGGGGTTGAAAGAGAGGAAGAATTGGCAGAGGGAGGAGGGGAGATATGTAAGAGGGCATGCAGAAGCTGGGCAACCCCATGTCGGAGGAGCAGCTCCAGCAGATCATGGAGGCGGTAAGGGGGAATGAGGATGGGGTTGAAAGAGAGGAAGAATTGGCAGAGGGAGGAGGGGAGATATGTAAGAGGGCATGCAGAAGCTGGGCAACCCCATGTCGGAGGAGCAGCTCCAGCAGATCACGGAGGCGGTAAGGGGGAATGAGGATGGGGTTGAAAGAGAGGAAGAATTGGCAGAGGGAGGAGGGGAGATATGTAAGAGGACATGCAGAAGCTGGGCAACCCCATGTCGGAGGAGCAGCTGCAACAGATCATGGAGGCGGTAAGGGAGGGAGAGGAGGGAATGAGGTGAGGTTACAGGGAAGGGCAATGGGTTGAGGTTGTAAGCCTGCCAGCCAGGGACAGCCAGCTTGCAGGGCATGCAGAAGCTGGGTAACCCGATGTCGGAGGAGCAGCTTCAGCAGATCATGGAGGCGGTGAGAATGGGAGACGGGATGGTGGGATGAGGTACAAGGGCAGTAAGATTGGGACATGCAGAAGCTGGGTAACCCCATGTCGGAGGAGCAGCTGCAACAGATCATGGAGGCGGTGAGAGAGAAGCATTGAGACGGTGGTGCTTGGTGTGATGGTGGTGGGGTGAGGTTGATGGAAGAGACGCAGGTGCGTAGGGTAAGGTGCAAATAAAGGAACTCCACTGCCCCTCATCCTCTTGTCCCCCTGTCCACTCCACTCTCTTGCACTTCCCCCTCCCTTATCTCTAGTGGCAGGAGGAAATGGATCATAGTGGTACCATTGACTACACAGAGTTTATCACAGCAGGCTCTAAGCTGCCGAGCCTCAGTCCCCATGTGTACCTCTTTTTCCATCCCTTCCCACCCGCCCAACCCACCCAGGCGGACATGGACCACAGCGGCACCATTGACTACACGGAGTTCATCACAGCAACGATGCAGATGAACAAGGTGGAGAAGGAGGAGCACATCTGGAAGGCCTTCCAGCACTTCGACCGCGACGGCAGCGGGTGAGCTGAGAGGAGAGGAGAGGCACTTGGACCGTGACGGCAGCAGGTGAGATGAGAGAGGAGACTGTAGAGGCGCCTCAAAAGGTGATGCAGATGAACAAGGTGGAGAAGGAGGAGCACATCTGGAAGGCCTTCCAGCACTTCGACCGCGACGGCAGCGGGTGAGCTGAGAGAGCAGATGAGGGGGTCAGATGAGATGAGAGAGATATGTGCTCCCAGCACTTTGACCGCGACCGCAGCGGGATACGCAAGCGTATTAGCTCTCTAGTTACCACCTGATGGTTACAATCCGCAACTCCTCACGATTTTCCCTGACATCTCTAACATCACTGTATCATTCCCTGCCATCTCCCCCTCTTCTCCCTCCCACATGGCAGGTTCATCACGGTGAGCGAGCTGAGGGACGCCCTGGCGAATGAAGTGCACCAGCTTGGTGGTTACCACCTGATGGTTGCCCTACATCATTCCCTGACATCTCCGCCTCTTCTCCTCCCCCCCCCCCACGCGGCAGGTTCATCATGGTGAGCGAGCTGAGGGACGCCCTGGCGAATGAGGACATGCTGGAGGTGGGCGAGCTGGTTACCACCTGTTGGTTACACCCTGCAACTCCCCCCTATATTCCCCTGCCACAGGTTCATCACAGTTAGCGAGCTGAGGGACGCCCTGGCGAATGAGGACATGCTGGAGCCAGGGGAGCTGGAGCAGATCATTGAAGAGGTGGACACGGATAAGGTGAGTGGGGTGTTAAAGAAGGTTGCAGGAGAGGGATGTGTGTGTGTTCAAGGGCGAATGAGGACATGCTGGAGCCAGGGGAGCTGGAGCAGATCATTGAAGAGGTGGACACGGATAAGGTGAGTGGGGTGTTAAAGAAGGTTGCAGGAGAGGGATGTGTGTGTGTTCAAGGGCGAATGAGGACATGCTGGAGCCAGGGGAGCTGGAGCAGATCATTGAAGAGGTGGACACGGATAAGGTGAGGGGGGTGTTAAAGAAGGTTGCAGGAGAGGGATGTGTGTGTGTTCAAGGGCGAATGAGGACATGCTGGAGCCAGGGGAGCTGGAGCAGATCATTGAAGAGGTGGACACGGATAAGGTGAGTGGGGTGTTAAAGAAGGTTGCAGGAGAGGGATGTGTGTGTGTTCAAGGGCGAATGAGGACATGCTGGAGCCAGGGGAGCTGGAGCAGATCATTGAAGAGGTGGACATGGATAAGGTGAGTGGGGTGTTAAAGAAGGTTGCAGGAGAGGGATGTGTGTGTGTTCAAGGGCGAATGTGGACATGCTGGAGCCAGGGGAGCTGGAGCAGATCATTGAAGAGGTGGACACGGATAAGGTGCGTGGGGTGGGGTGATAATAAAGGTTACTTTCGAGACGCCTTGAAAGTGGGCACAGGGTTGATTCATCTCGAAGCTCGATAAGAGGGGATGGGGAAAAGAAGGATGGGAGGAACGAACAAAAGTTTGACGCTGTGGAACACTTGGTCAGGTTAGAGAGGGAAATTGTGATGTGTTGGGGAATGATTTGCACATCAGCCATGATGAGGTGTAAGTCAGAAGCACGACTCTTGGACATGCACATGTGCCTGTGCACACTGCACACCCTTTTCTTCGCCTTTGTGTGCCTGTTCAGAGCGGCACGATTGACTACGAGGAGTTTGCAGCCATGATGAGGAAGCAAGACCAGGATGTAGCCGGTGCGCAGAAGCAGAGGCGGACCCGTAGCATTGGTGCTGACTACTACTGATTCCGAGAAGGGTCGAATCTGATCTCAATGCGCTACAATTCAGAAGCAGAGGACCCCACTGCATTTAGCTCGCAAGAAATCCATTTTTTTGTACGACTAGTGCAAGATGCAATTGCACTTTGCTCTTGGGTGCTTCCAGTACTCATGTCCATCTGTACTGTAGGTCTAACTTGTGGCACTAATTTGATTGTGTTATTCAGGCTGTTGGTGTGGTCCAGCTGAGTTTGTGGTTTGCGAGTGAGCGGGACAAAAAACAAAATTCCGTTGCCGGAACTTGAACCCGGGTCTCTCGGGTGAGAGCCGAGTATCCTAACCGACTAGACTTCAACGGATGCATGAACTTCAATCATGCATATTATAAAACAGTTTAATAATGTACACAAGGTACTTAGCTGGTTCCCTGAAGTTTGTGTCGCCGGAATGTCGCGATGGCTCCTGAACGTCAAGAAGCAGTCGTTGCGGCGAGCTAGAAGGCTTCTCCTCTCCGCGGACAAGCTAGGTAGGCGCGTGCGAAACCTAAAGCTCATCTGGAAGTTCGGAGCCGTCTGCGTCGTCATTCTCCTTTTCCAAGGCATTGCAGGCCCACGTTGGGAACCTTACGTGGAATCTGGACCGTACGTTCGATCACAATTCTTTGCAGAATCGGACGGTCAGGGTAGGGGTGCTTATGGGAGAGAGTTTGAGTGGCAGGGGAGAGGACAGACGGCAAGGAGTACTTACTCGAATGCGGGAAGCGGGAGATACAATAACGAGGATGCGCTGCTTTCGGAGGAGTTTAACCAGGATGCGGCGGGAAGACATGAGTTTCAGGAGAAGCAGCGACGACAGCAGCAGTTTAGTATCCAGGCGGAGACAACAACGAGATACAGCTCTACGGCGGCTCAGCATTCCAAACGGCAGATAGAGCCACACCCCGGTATTGTCACACGACTAGCGACTCAAATATGGCGTTCCGTGTTCAGACCGGCACCCCCTCCTGTCGACCAGGCCCCTTATTGCCACATTCACAGACTACAGAGCCAAAACGGCACGGAAACCAGCAGCACGACCAGTACCAGCAGCAGCAGCGACGGCAGCAGCAGGAATGCAAATGGTTCTGACTCGGAGGGTAGCGGGAATAGAGGGGAGGATGAGGAGGAGACGGAGGGGATGGAAGAGTCAGAGGGGACTGCAGAAGCAGACAGGGAGAGAAAGAAGCTTCAGGAGTTGAACAGAAAACGCGAAGCGGCCCTTCTCAGTCGCGATCCGTCCACTCTCCGTTACGCTTACGTCACGCTCCTCTGCGATGACGTCATGGCGCCCGGGGCCCTGGTGCTGGTGCATTCCCTGAAGCGCACGGGCACACCGCACGATGTGGTGGTGCTGACGATGAACGTGAGTGACGGCACGACTGCGCGGCTGCAGCTGCTGGGAGCGAGGGTGAAGCAGATTGAAGAGGCCATTCCGTACCCGTTTCCTGCGACTCCTAATAGGGTCGCCATCAACAAACCCTGCAGGTGGGTGCAGTGCGGTGCAGGTGGTTTTTGAGTCGACTCATTAATTGGCGCCCGGTGATCTGGTTTTGGTGCACTCGCTGAAGCACACGGGCACGCCGCACGACGTGGTGGTGCTTACGATGACCGTGAGTTCAAGTGGGTGGGAGAGGCATTGTACTTACGATGAATGTGAGTGAAGCGCACGCGCACGGCGCACGACGTGGTGGTGCTGACGATGAACGTGAGTGAGGGGACGGCGGCGCGGCTGCAGCTGCTGGGGGCGAGGGTGAAGCAGATCGAAGAGGCGATCCCGTACCCATTTCCTGCCACTCCGAATCGAGTCGCCATCAACAAACCGTGCAGGTGGGTGCGAGGAGTGGCGTGGTTGTGCGTGCAATGAATGTTAGTGTAGGCATTTTTGAGAGGCGCCTCAGAAGGGCACGGCGCACGACGTGGTGGTGCTGACGGTGAACGTGAGTGAGGGGACGACTTTTGAGGCGCCAAAAGTGCAGGTGGGCGCCATGCGGTGCAGGTGGGTGCCATGTGGTGCAGGTGGTTGGGTGGGAGGAGAGTGAGAGACGTGGTGGTGCTGACGATGAACGTGAGTGACGGGACGACGGCGTGGCTGCAGCTGCTGGGAGCGAGGGTGAAGCAGATTGAAGGGGCCATTCCGTATGCGTTTTCTGCCACTCCTAACAGAGTCGCCATCAACAAGCCGTGCAGGTGTGTGTCAGTCAGTTTTTATTGAATGTCGCTGCTTCCCTTTTTGAGTTCACATAGCAGAATGGCAGAATGAATTCCCGTACACTTCGAGTTTCCATCCATGCAGGTCAATCGAGCGTCGTGCCAACTCTCCCGTTCACTCCCTGTTCGCTCTTCTAGGTTTGAGGCGCCTCAAAACTGTTCGCTCTTCTAGGTTTGAGGCGCCTCAAAACTGTTCGCTCTTCTAGGTTTGAGGCGCCTCAAAACTGTTCGCTCTTCTAGGTTTGAGGTGTTAGAATCTATATATTATAGCATGCGAACACTTGTGACTGTACACCAAGAGTGGTGTACAGTTGGGTTGGTTCAGGCTCTAGTTTTGGGTGTACTGCGGATAGACACCCTAATTGGGGTGAACCCAAATATCCTAGCTTAGACTTGGCTCCAACCTTGTTGGCCAAGTGGGGCAACCAACTTTGGCTGGTTGGCCACCATCCCACTAGGGTTGGTTGGATGGTCCTTCCTCCCACTAGCCTACTTGGTCTTGGTGTCTTATGTGCTAAGTTTGGTGTTCTTCTCCAACCTTCTCTTCCTTGTATAACCTTGTGCTCTCTTGATCTAATGTTAACAATTCTTCCTCAACTTTCTATAGCTCATAGTTTCTTTCATGGTATTCAGAGCCTAAGCCAAACGCCCTAGATCCTAGGCCTACTCAACCAAAGTAACATTTCTCAACGTAAACCTATTACACCTCTCCTAGAAGCAGCTCGTAGTGCGGCCTCCCACCTTCTCGTCGCGAAATCCCTGCCTGAAATCGCACGGCTCCTTTTACCCGTCACGTACTCCCCTCCTCCAGTGATTATGAACGTTTTCACCGTCGCGAAGTCCCTGCTAGCAGTCGCGCGGATCGTTTTAACCGTTGCGAATCCTCTGCCAGCAGTCGCGCGGGTCCATTTCCCAGTCGCGAAGTCCATGCCAGCAGTCGCGCGGGTCAATTTCACCGTCGCGAAGTCCATGCCAGCAGTCGCGCGGGTCAATTTCACCGTCGCGAAGTCCCTGCCAGCAGTCGCGCGGGTCAGTTTCACCGTCGCGAAGTCCCTGCCAGCAGTCGCGCGGATCGTTTTAACCGTTGCGAATCCTCTGCTAGCGGTCGCATTGCTTCATTTGACCGTCACGACACCTCTGCCAGCAGCTGCGGAGACCCCTCTGCTCGTCACGTCACCCCTCCTCGCAGTCCCACGGGCCCCTCTAAGCGTCACGCCACCCCTGCCACCAACCACGCGAGTCTCCCTGCCCATCGTGCTACCTCTACCAGCACCCACCTGAGCCCTGCAGAGCAACTGCGCGGCCCCCCCCGCAACAGCAGCAGCGGCGTGACTGGACAGTAGCAGCACTTGTGACCTGGGCAGCAGCAGCAGTGTGACTGGACAGCAGCAGCAGCGTGACTGGACAGCAGCAGCAGCGTGACTGGACAGCAGCAGCAGCGTGACTGGACAGCAGCAGCAGCGTGACTGGACAGCAGCAGCAGCGTGACTGGACAGCAGCAGCAGCGTGACTGGACAGCAGCAGCAGCGTGACTGGACAGCAGCAGCAGCAGGACAGGACAGCAGCAGCAGCAGGTCTGGGCAGCAGCGGCAGTGTGACTGGACAGCAGCAGCAGCAGGACAGGACAGCAGCAGCAGCAGGTCTGGGCAGCAGCGGCAGTGTGACTGGACAGCAGCAGCAGCAGGTCTGGACAGCAGCAGCAGCGTGACTGGACAGCAGCAGCAGCGTGACTGGACAGCAGCAGCAGCGTGACTGGGCAGCAGCAGCAGCGTGACTGGACAGCAACAGCAGCGTGACTGGGCAGCAGCAGCGGCAGAGCTGAACAGTGGCAGCAGCACTCATGGCGACTGACTCCGTGCCTATTGATACTGGCTCCATTGTTCGCCTGGAAGTCCAGGACGGCACTACTGCACTGAATTGGCACCGTTTCTCACAGAGCCTCACCGGTGTCCTCCGCTCCACCATTATTGGCGGTGTCAACCTCCACTCCGTTGTCTTTGCCGAACCGGATGGCCTTGAGCCCAAGCCACCTCCTCTCCTTGATCTTGAACCTCCTCCTCCACCACCCCATCCTGGCGAAGCACCTCGCCCGCCCGATCTCCCTCGCCTCGTTTCTGACAACACCACCAATGCCTCGCGCCTCACCACCTACGCGGAGGAGGTGGCGACACACACGCGACTGGTGGATACCCACAAGGCAGCCCTTACTGCTCACACCACGGCTGCTGCCCTTCATGCGAAGTACACTGCTGATAAGACGTCCTACACCTCCCAGCTGACTGATTTCACTACTCGCCATGCCGCCTGGTGCATTGCCGACACTCGGGCCGTTGGCCTCATCAACTCCTGCATCCCGACCTCGCTCCAGAGCGAGCTTGACGCCACTTCCTCTGCAGTTCTCTGGCGCGCCCTCTGTGATTTGTATGACCGTCGGGACATGGCATCTCTTCATGCCCTCTACTGTGACTTCAACGCTATCACCCTTGACAACTGCACCGGCGCAGCTGACTATACCCGTCGCCTCAACAACACAGCTCGGCGTCTTCGGGAGCGTGGGGCCACTATTGACGACCCCCTCCTCATTTGGCGCATCCTCGAGGGACTCACCCCGGCTTATGAGATGCACCGCATCGCCTACGACATTGTTCTCTCTCCCCACGCCACGGCTGCCGAAGTCACCACATGGGTCCTTGATACTGAAGCCAAGCTTACCCGCCAGTCCCCCTCCACCCTTAACTTCACACAGGGACGCGGAGGACGTGGCGGGCGTGGTGGCAAGGG